AACTGTTGAGGGTCATGCCGGTGGAGAAATCAATCATCATACCAGCCCCGTGAGGTCCCAGATGATCCATTCCAACCAGGATAGGAACCAGCATAGATCTGTCAAAACCAGGTTGATGTAGCTCTGGTGGATTGGGCAGGGCATAGACCTTGAACTGTTTGGGCGTTCCTGATACATCACTCCGGAGGGTGACCTGTTAAAGAGCCTGACCCCACTTCCCATTCCCGTAGCGGAAATACGGGCGAGCGGATTGATCAATCTCCACAACGGTGCAGTGGTCCTGTGCCACAATGGACTGTATGAGGCCCTTGACAGCCTCTTCTGGGCCAGCAGATGCTGTGGCCCCACAGTCCACCATGCCTTCAAAATCACCACTGGTGGATGGCATGGTGGCAGGCATACATTCACCACCGTGGAGGTCCATGTCCAGGCCGCAGAACTCGGCCGTGTAGGAGTTGACAAAACTTCGCGAAGGGGTCGCGCCATAGCCTTTACCAGATCCTGAGTGCTTGGATTTGCCCTTGAAGTACATGGCGTCGTAATCATAGTCCATGGAGTAGGTGTTCTTGCCCTTGGACTTGCCCTTCTTGGAGCCCTTGTGCTGGTAGAAGTCGTCGTAGTAAGGGTCAACCATGAACTGAGAGTTGCCCTTTTTGCCGGAGGATCCCTTGGGATGTGGTGCATGCCGAAGGTCGGGACATTGGCGGATGAAGTGAGCGCCGCCACAGTTGTAGCATTTCCCGGAGTTGCCCTTGCCGAAGCCCCTGTCACGGTGTATTGCAGCCGTGGCTCGTTTGGCTTCAGCCCAGGTACGACTTGCTTCTTGGGCCATTTGTTCCGCAAGCTGTTCAGCTTGATGTGCTTCCTTGAGCTTTGACTCCTCAGCCGGATCGAGATGGGGAGAGGCAGGACTGGTGTCCTTCGACTCGGAGTCGTTGTCCCAGTCCCAGGGGTTCTGGTCTTCGGCAGTCCAGTGTTGATGCCAATCCTGATCCCACCACTGGACACTGGCATAGTGATCGTGCCATGGATCAGGTCGAGGGCCAGGTTCTTGTTCTTGAACATGTAGATGATGCTGTACAGCGTGAGGTTGGCGTTGTCCAAGAAGTTGATCGTCCCACAGCATTTGCAGTGCTCGACTGATGGAGTCGTAGTTCATGCTGTTTTGGGTGGTGCTGAGGATATCACGTTTTTCTTCACTGGTCAAGCTGGCAGCCTGTAAAAGACGCCAGCCACGTAGGACGCCCATGATGAAGGAGTCGGCAAGGGACATCTCGTCAATGACATCCACCTGAGTGATGTCCAGTTGAGGTTGCGCATGAGGGATGTCCTTGCCCTTGCCTTTGCTGCCAGGTCTGGAAGATCTGCCTGGGGAAGCACCAGGTGCAGCATCAAAGAAGCTGCCATCCTGAGAGGCGTCCGTTGCCCTTGTTCTTGGTGGCGTGGTAGCTTCGTCAGGGACGGATTCATGCTCATCTTGATCTAGATCATCTTCTTGTGCGAAGGGCTCAGGTGAACCACTGGGGATGCCGAAGTCCTTGTCCTCCTGCTTGATGCCCTTGCGTTCCTCGAACAGACGAACCAGGGCTTCGGTGAACTCCGCGTAGCCGAGGGTCTCACGGATGAGGAAGGCACTCATGCTCTCCTGGGGCAGCCGCTTGAAGGCGAAGTACTGGGCGCAGATGGCTGCCGTGTTGGGAAGGCTCTGTCTGACCAGAGGAGAGCCGGCCAGACGTCTGAGAAGATCTCGCGTACCATCTGGTGAGTCAAACAGTTGTAGAGGCCAGGACATGGCTAGGAGCCGTGCTGGGCCCGTCAATCGACTCACCAATTTGGTCGCACAGTAGCGCCGCTTGTCCAGGGGGACGCTCATCACCCACCAGGCGACTTCACGAGTATAACGTCTCCATGTCCGTGCAGATCCATCCCATTGTGGGATGTGGCCTTCCTTGTCTGACATCGTGTTGATGTTGAGGTTGAGCTGGAGGTTGCCGTAGATGGTGTTCTCGTGGCCTGGTAGTTGATGGGTTCCAGGAGGCTGCCGTAGAGGGAGTTCAGGTGTGGGGAGATCTTGATGTTGTAGTGCAGGAGATCCTTGAGGTGTCCAATATGACCAGGATGGTCCTCAACGTCGGTACCCGACGGAGATCTACACCTCAGTCAAAACCAGGTTGCCACCCTCAAGGTCGGGGCACGAGCCGAAGGCGAAGTGCGGGTGTTCCTCGGACTCCCGGATCGTGTAACCGTGCTCCGCTGCCAATGCAATGACCGGGGGTCAAGGAGGCTCGCAGCAGCCAAAGCGCACCTTTGCGCTGAGATCGAATGTCCACGCGCCCACTGGCGCGGTCGCAACCGTGGCTCGGTGTCGAGCGGACAAAGGGGCCCCTCTGTCTAGGGCCATGGTGGCAGCAGTGGATCAACAGTTGACATGTCACAACCAACCGAAGGAATCGCAGAATGCCCGTTTTCAGATCCCCCGCGAAAAGTGACTCACTTTCAGTGGGTGAAATTCGGAATCTGCCACTAAACACTGAAAGGCTAAAAACAAACGAAGGAACCGGATGGCTGGGAGCCACCAAGGAACAATGGGCCTCCGACGTGGCAGGGTCCCCCAAACGAAATGTTGATCCGAAGAAGTTGCACACGTAACGTTCCCCAAACCCATGGGGCCGCGTTTTAGGACCAGTCTACTGGGCTCTATGTGGGTACGGGTTCTACACACAGATGCCAAAGCGGGTGTTTTCCTTCCATGGGCATGGGGAGAAGAATCGTCGTCGACATCACCTACTCTCCACTGGTAAATGGCTTATACAACCCATCTAAACCAGTGGAACCTATCTATTTCTAATCAAGCTAACCTAAAAAGGACTCCTATGAGGCCGCGTTTTAGGACCAGTCTACTGGGCTCTATGTGGGTACGGGCCGTACGGGTTCTACTCACAGTGCCAAAGCGGGTGATTTTCTTCCATGGGGAGAAGAATCGGCGTCGATATCACCTACGCTCCACTGGTAAATGGCTTATAAAACCCATCTAAACCAGTGGAACCCATCCATTAACCTAAAAAGGACACGTATGGGCCCGCGTTTTAGGTACGGGTTCTACTCACAGATGCCAAAGCGGATTTGTTCCCATGGGGAGAAAAGACTCGGCATCACCTATGCTCCACTGGTACATGGAAGAAAACCAATCTAAACCAGTGGAACCCATCCATTTCAAGCTGAGACACCTATGGGGCCGCGTATTAGGGCTCTATGTGGGCACGGGTTCTACTCAACGATGCGAAAAGCGGGTGTTTTTTTTCTCCATGGGGAGAAAAGAATCGGCGTCGGCATCACCTATGCTCCACCGGTACATGGGAGAAAACCAATCTAAACCAGTGGAACCCATCCATTTCTAATCAAGGATTCAGCTCGCTCCGCTCCTGTTTGCAGCTGTCCTCGGAGCGATTCACAAGGATTCAGTGGCGAAGGACGCCACTCGCAGTTACTGCTCCAAGTGGCAAACCACTAGCAGCTGAAACAGCAACACATGCTGGCCACTGCGCCAGCCACACACTGCACCACCCAAACTTTCCTGACCCATCTTCCAGAACTTCCGCTCAAGCTACCCAGTGCTGCTGTGTAGGTAAAGAAATACCACGATGCAGGAGGGATACAGTGCTTCGACCAGAACTCCGCGCTGCAGAGCGCACGATCAAAAGCACCTGCTAATCGCAAAATCCGATCACGGAAAGAAGGGTCAAGCTTGTGAATAAATGATTCGCACCTACCTCCTGGATATATCTCCATGACCTTGGCCGATATCCACCGGCCACGTCGTTGCACCAGAGTTGCGTCTTCTGTGACTTGAAGCAACCACGTCACCCCACCTGCGCGAAGACTGCCCGAATCTACCCAGAGCGTTTCAACACAGGGATGCAGAGGAAGGCACCAAGAGGTTCAGACGGAGGCCAGGTGAGCACAGCTAAACTCGACACCATCCGAAAGGCCCGGCAAAGGGGACGGAGCCGCAGCAGCCATCAGGCTTGAAGGAGACTCCGGCTGCACTTCAGTACACTTCGGCCTTGGCCAAGGGCGCAAAGCCGTGGAACACCGTGGCGGGGGGAATTGGACTTCAGAGCAAAAAGACACTCGGGGCCGCAACACCACACAGGCGACACAAGTCAACGCAAACACGGCAAAGCTCAGCCGGAACCAGCTGAAGAGCGGTGTCCTTGTCGTTCTCGTCCACGTTCTTTACTCCCAGGCCCCAGAGTCCTCTGCCGCACTGGCAGAAGAACCTGAGGCTCTCAACGGCAAGGCGCAAGCAAACCCTCAGCAGAAGGGAGGTCACTCATGCAAGTACCCCCGCAGCCGAGAGGAACGGCGCGAGGGGCCGGCAGAAGCAGGAGAAGGTGAACTCAAGGTGCCGGAAGTCACCACAAAACCAGCCGAAGGACAAAGAAGTGGACAAAACGGAAGAAGAACAAGGTAGTGACCACGCCCACACAGAAAGAGGCCACAGAGACAGCCAAAAGGAGAGTCAGGTTCAAAGAGCAGTGTGCGGGACAGGCCAGACCCCACCAGTTAGACGCAACGCCAACCTGCAGCAGCTCGAAGAACGAACCAACCCAAAGGGGCATCTATGCTTGAGCGGCAAAACATCCACAACAGCTTCATCCTTACTGTGCCAAGCTAACCTAAAAAGGACACCTATGGGGCCGCGTTTTAGGACCAATCTACTGGGCTCTATGTGGGTACGGGTTCTACTCACAGATGCCAAAGCGGTTGTTTTCCCATGGGGAGAAAAGACTCGGCATCACCTATGCTCCACTGGTACATGGAAGAAAACCAATCTAAACCAGTGGAACCCATCCATTTCTCTTCTCAAGCTAACCTAAAAGGACACCCATAAACGGCCGCGTTTTCGGACCAGTCTACGCTTTTAGGACCAGTCCAAACTGAAAAGGACGCCAAAACCTCCAAAGCCCCACCCAACCCACGCCGCGGGTCCGAGGCGCAGGTCCTGCCAGAGGCTTGGGCCCTCCAGCTCGCAGGACCCGCAGGCCACTGCCACCACAGCGCCCGCCTCCAGCAGCGGAAGAGCCAGGCGCGGTCCTATGTGGTGAGTGGGGGGAAAACCATTCTGTGGTGGCTATCTAAACTGGCATGTGTCATAGCGCCTGGGTGAGGTGGTTTGGGCTAGTAACTCTTGTGCCGTAGAATTCTGCTTATATGAGCCACAGAAGCAAGCAAGGAAAGCACAGGCACAAGCAGAAAAACCCAAGCAAAGCACAAGTAAACCAAACCAAACCAAACCAAAACCAAACCAAAACCAGCCGTAAGAGAAGCACAGTGACCAAACGTTGTGGCCCACCTCATTCATCGTCTGAGTCCCAGGTGAGCGGCGCCCGCCAAAAACAGGCAAAGGACGAAATGATACGACTGGGCTACCCTCAGATCCCCCGCTAAAAGTCTAACTTTTAGTGGGTTAAATGGAAATCCCCACAAAACACTAAAAAGCTATAAGGCGAAGGGGATGGCTGGGGCTGGGAGCCACCAAGACTGGACAACCTAGGATCTCCATACGACATGTGGTATTGACTAAGAATGCATCAAAATGTTAGAAGGAATTCGAGAATGCTATAGTTCAATTAGGAGCTCTATCTTAAATTTGAAACTAAGCCGGAATATGTGCTTGAAACGTGTCTATCTCAATTATCTGTGTAAATCACAGAGGAGAAGTGCCGGTCCGCCGGTGCTGCTTTGGGTGTTCTCGGGTTGCCGCTTTGCTTGCTGACTTGTTTGGATTTTGGGGTTGGGGCCTCAGCTTGGGTATTTTAGTATTCTCCCTCCAAAAGAAAAATGGCTCTTTGTGAGCGTCAAAAGGACAAACACAAAACAGCGAGGTTGTTTGGTTTTTGGGCAGGATAATGCCAAAACCAAAAACTGATGGAAACCAAACAAAACTCGAGAAAACAAAGATACTTCTGGCAAAACCAAACCTTCTGCCCTGAGATGTGTGTTTTGGTAGTTGTCAATCAATGTTGGTAGTTTTGCACTCATGTGCAAACAAATGCTCACAAGACAAAACAAATGCAGAAAGCAAAACTGTGCTGTTTGGTGTCAAACTAGCAAAACCAAGAAAACGCATTGCTTGCATTGTGTCTTGCACGTGCAGGTGCATCGGATAGCCGAATTGAGGCCACCCATCAAACGGAATGCGAAGGCCGTTCAAAAGGGCCGGCGTGTTTAGCATGTCTAGCGGGAAGTAAAGCAAAGGTAGTTCATGGGGGTGGCCATTTCCAACATATGCTTGGACATCGTAGTTGCAGCTTGTCCAACAAACGGATATCATACTTGTAGTATTTTCCTCACCTAGCCCTAGCATGTGTCTGGCAAATGACTGCATGTGTAGTTGCTCTATCGGCCTTTTTTTGTCCAGCTTGCTTCCGGGTAGCGGTTGAAGCGTTGAGCGTGGGGGTCGAAGCGTCCACAAAATATGTCCCGCTTAGGTGGTAAAGACAGGGAATTTCGAGAAAAGGCCAACCTGCACTCCGATGCCAGAGCATAAGACATCCACTTGCAACGTTTGTTTGCAACGCTGAAACACAACACCAACACAGCCCCAACCCCCCCCCCCCCCGCCCTGCAACAAAGAAAACAATCGCAGAGCTCCGCCTTTTAGCAAGGATGTCTGCTGAAAGACAAATCCTTTTCTCAAGGAATAATTGCATTGGCATGCAACTCATCTGGCAAGGGCTTGTGCGCAAAAACTTCAACTCATCCTTTTCACAAGGACTTGTCAGGAGTTGCTTGCCCGGGATGTACCGCCGAGCGCCCGCGGATTCGTCCCGTCCTAGCAGCACCACGTGGAGGTCTGGCTGGGGCCTCAGGCGCTGCAAGAGCTGCGGCACCAGCCCGGCGCCGGCGCCAGCGGAGCGCGAAGCGGCACCGGGCGAAGCGGCGGGCGAAGCGGCGGGCGAAGCGGCGCCTTTGGGCGCGGTCCGCCACCTGACGGCGGGCCCGAAGGGACCTCTGGGGAGGTGACGCGCTTTGCCGGAATGAAAGAGGAACACGCCGAGCCAGGCGTGTTGTGTTTACTTGGGTAAGGGACCCAGTTGTCAATGGGGCACCTTCTGGTTGCCAATCAAAGCCATAGCCAAGAGGCCTCCATGTCGTGTTTTTGGTCGGCCTTTCACCGAAGCCTCAGGACTGGACACGACCGACCGCAAAACCGTACTCTTTTCTGTGGATTTTGGCAGCTCATTCCACTTATCCCTTCGGAGGCAAACGGCTCGCTCCGATCCACGAATCTAGTGGGCATCGGGCATCCCTTGGCAAGCTGAGACGCGCAAAAAATTGTCCTTCCGCTTGTGCCAAAGGAGCTGACAAAACCTAGCCTTCGACAACTGGTCAAAGGGATGACAAGTTGCATGCATCATGTTCTCTTTTTTGGTCCCCCTTACTCACAAACCGGACGACTGTCCTCACCACAATGAGCTCCTCGAAAGGTTCACTTTTTGTAGGTGCTTCAATTGTGCCTTGTTGAATTGGGATTCAGAACCAAACATCCATGGGCTTTTAGGGGGCTGCTCACTTGGGGGTTTGTCTCGAAAGAAGCCTCAGAATAGGCGGTTTCTCTGTGAATGATTCCCTCCCTCAACACACAAAGAAGACACACACACACACACATGTGTGTGTGTGTGTGAGCGCTCATTGGTCGTTTCATTTGCTTTCTGATGATATTTGTGGTTGTTTAAAGAGTGGTGAGCTTCACGATGAGCGCTCCTGACAGCGCTGATATGGTGTATCCAGTTTGTTTGACCAGGGCTGAGACTCTGTGCCGCCCATTTACATGTTGTGGCGATGTCCCATTTCTGGCCCAAAAAAGGGTGTCGCGGTGTTAAAGGGAAGGGGTAAGGGGTGGAGGGGGGCATAAAACCAATCTAATAAAACCAATCTAAACCAGTGGAACCCATCTCTGTCCAGCCAAACCAACGTGAAAGGGACACCTATGCCTCCTGTCCTTAAGCAAACCAGGCTGAAAGGTGCCTGTGTGGATCCTCTAGCAGCTGGACGCTGGGGGGCGGTGACTGCAAAAGTCCTGCGGCCGGTCAAGGTGGTTGCAAGGTAACAACCTGCCCTCCCACCAGTTGACGCATATGGGTCATATCCTATGCCTCCATTTTGGGGCGGATGAACACCCATGTAGCACCTATTTTGATGTTCACCAGGGGCTTCCTGGGTTTTGACCCACAGCCACATCCATGGAACCTGACCCGAACGGCCACGTTCCCTTTCAATGGACCATGTCCCGATCAGGTTCCCATGTGAGAAGGGTTCCAGTTCAAGGCGGGCTCGCCGGACTCGTCCGCATTGGGTTCTGTGCGGTCCTTCGAGGGGCTTGTTCCCGGGTGCTTGTTGAATGCAAGCAGCTTCTTGCGGCATGGAGTTGCACCCCTCGGTTTGCATTGGGGTGTTTGCTCAGTTGCCCAAAGGACCTGGAACTAAAAGGTTAACCTTTTGGGGCCTTTACTAAAGATAGACCAAAATTGGAAAACCAAAAGGTTAAAAGGTCGGCTTTGTGCAACTGAGTTTGTTCTTTGGCAGATTCTCGTGGCTGACAGCCCAAAACAGCCAAGAGAGGAGCCTCTAGCTAGCTTTTGTTTCAGAAGAATTGCCCCCGTCATGTTCATGGGGAAACGGGGGCGCGAAGGAATCTAAGATCCACTACCCCAACATGGTGCATGTACTCTGTGGTGGCTAATATAGCAGTTGGGAGGGCACTTGGTGCGGAAATCTTCAAGCCACTTTGTGCAATTGGGTAAAAGTATATGGCACATCACCCACCACCCGTGAAGTTTTGGGGACAGACAAGGATTATTTGTGCCATCCATGTCAGCCTGTTGTAGGGCATAAACCGTGGCTGTTAACAGAGGCGATTGGATCTACTTACTAAGTCGGGTTGGAGATTCGAAGGCCGCCCAAGGTTCTCAGAACCTTCCCTTCTACAAACCTTTCTGCGGTGAGGGGCCCAACCACATCTCGGAGAACCGGCATCCAAACCAACAATCCAAGCCACCAATTTTGGGTTGCCTGAAATAAGGAGTCGAATACCAATTGAAGCCTTGGTTTGGTTCCCATCAACACCCATTTTGGGGCTTCATTCAACACCAGAAATGTTGGCTTGTCGCGTTTTGGTTGCACGTTTTGGCACTTAAAGGAGGGATCCAGTGGAAAATTCAACTACACCCAAAGGGAAATAGAAAAACGGTTGAAGTCTTTTTGGTGGCTGGGGCAGCACGTGGAATGTTGCAGGGGTTCCTGAACCTGCGAAAGCTAGCACACAAGAAGCTTGGACAGGAACCACCCAGCGTAAAATAAAACTGACAGAAGAATGGCCCCAGAAGGGACTCTTCTTGAATGCTGCACGTACTGAATTTGAATCCAACATCTGTTTGTTTCATATCGTAAAATACACACGCGGCAAGAATATGGGGCTTTAAAATTCCTTGATCATGAGAACTGCTGCAAGGCTGTGCAAAGCTTCGGTCAACAACTACAAGATGAACTTCTACAAAATGGGCAGGTGACCGTCGTATCTCACTCATTGGGAGCATGTCACCTTCTGTTGCTGCTCTCAAAGCCGGTGGCATGTTGCCTCAAAATTATTCATGTCAATCATCACAATTTGTTCAAAAACGGCTTTCCAAAGCACAACAACCCTCTTCCATCAGCCCACCCATCTATGCATCCATCCATCCGTCCGTGGCTGCCGTTTTGCCACTTGTCTTAGGACGACATTTGGCACTCGAGGAGGAATCCGGCACTTGCATCTTCCAAGGGCAACCACAACCCCTCCCGCCAATCTTCACCCAACCCAAAAACTAGTCTTCAACCAACCACCCCCCTACATGGGCACCTCCCCCGCCCGGTTTTTGTCTCTCCTACCCCCTCCCACCCCTACGAAATCCTGCACCACCGAAAGGTCCGATTCCCTGCAAATACCAACAAGCAGTGGTTTCTCATGGTTTCTTGGGTTGTGCAAAATAGATTTCGCAACCATCCACAGTATTTTCCCCACTCACATCAATCCTTTGCCCAGGTGTTCATCGTACTCCGGGTGCGACACCGCGATGGACAGCACCCAGCGATCTTCGCTCCCCACAGGCGCGTCGTACCTCGCTTCCACCACCGCCCGGTTTTCCCAAAACGGGGAGTGACTGAGGTGGGTGTGGGGCAAAAATCCGGGGACCCAAAATGGAAGCCTGGCAAATGCAAACAAGGAATCAAACCCCAGTGGTCTTCTTCGGATCCATGCCCAGGTGTCGTCTATTATCATGCCTAAACGCGCCAAAAAAACGAAGAACACGTGCCAAATGAAGTATACATCTCCCCTTTGTGTGGCGTCCACTTCACCTTTTGGTTGCCACCAAAGAGAACATATTGGGAGACATGTCTTTCGCAGGGCTTGCGCGATGGAACACGAAGAGCCTTTGGAGGCATCTCCTTTTGGAGACCCCTTGAGCAACAGAGGCGACGCTTTGGAGTCCTTGAGTGGCCCTTCCCCCACGACACATCAAGATCATGACCCCGGCCCTACGCCATGATACCCAACTTGGTTGCTGTTGCCCCCCCTGCAAAAAGCTTAACTTTTTGGGGTTTAGTGGAAAACACCTTTATTCCCCCTGCAACAAATATAACTTCTTCTTTTTTTTGGGGGGGGGGTTAGTGGAAAACACCTGTATTTCAACCAAAAGTTAAAGCCTAAAGATCCAACCCAATAGCGGTCAAGCCAAGGGCCTCGAACGCCACCCCACCACTTCGCTCCGCGCCTGGCGCTGTGGTCGAAGGAGGCATCGAAGCCCAGGACGTGGCCGTCGCCGCCGAAGTCGCGCCGCTCCTCGATGCGACGAAACTCGCGCCTATCATGTTTGGCATCCCAAATTGGGTCCTCTGCAAAAATCGGTGGAGGAAAACCGCCACAAATTCGAGGACTGTCCAAGGGGTGTCCCCAAGTAGATAAACAGCAACCCGGTCAACAAACGTACTGTGGATGGACGAAATCCACCACCGAAGAAACCCTAGAATGGTCCGATTCCCATGTAAATACCTTAACAAGCAATGGCTTACCATGGTTTCAAAGTGGTGCGAATTGGATTGCGTCCATCCACAGTATCATTATAGTTTCTTTTCCGGGGGGAAACCGTCTCTAAACATTGAGCGGGGCGTCACAACCAGACTCCAACCATGAGGTTTCAGATAAAATTAGTGGTCTTCCGGGTTTGCCCCAACCACAAGCATTCAGGGTTTCTCTGAAAACACACATTGGGTTGTTGTTGTTTTTTGTGTTATGGAGCAACTATACCCAAGGGAAAATGGAGCTCCCGGCACATAGTGTCTGTATAGTGCTCAAAAGCATGCCTCTTTCGTGGCTATACATTCTCATCCGTTGACCCTGCAGGGAACCCTTGCACAATATGAAGGCCCGTGTCCTATCCATCAATCAGAGGGTCGGATGTGGGAGTGAGGGTCCCTGTACCGTCCGGCCAACCGGCGCGGAGCCTCACATGTTCGACAGTCGCTGTTCTTTTTGGTGAAAACATCCTCCGGCCTCAGCCCTTCTTGCCACCCGACCTCTGTATTTCCCAAGGGCCCTTTGCTTGAAAAAGAATTGAGCCGGAAAAAATCCGCGAGGGTTCTCTCGCGTGAAGCCACCAAGGAACGCCCCTTCGCAGGGCTGCGCTTGGGCATGAATATATGTTCGCAGTGAATCGGAGCCGAGGATAACGCAAATGAAGTAATTCGCCTGCCCAATTGAAATATCGGAGACCCTTTCGGGAACTTATAGGAATGTACCGTTTGACAGGGAGTTGGCTGAAACGGGAAGCAAACTCTCGCAGTCATTCTGAGAACTCAACATGTTCCCCTTAATCAAGGACCATTTCTGAGCTCGGTTGCTTTTCTGCTCCCCTGCCAAAAGTTTAACTTTTAGTGGTTTCGTGGAAAACCAATTCATTAGTTGGCAAGTTAAAGTCCTAACAGCCGTCTGCAAAATGCACCAAAGTGAGAACTGATCCCAAGAGCCCTAGAAGCCATCGGACTCAGAGCGTACCTTGGACCCCACCCTGGTCTACTTGAGTGTCTTGGACCTGCCCTTGATGTGGTTGTTGTTCAGGGAAGCCCAATGGAAACCGCAGAGGGATCCAAAACCCTGAGGGAAACCACCCATATCAGTTCCTGGGTTGGCCAAAAGCAGCTCCGAGCTCTTTTTGGTTGCCTCTAAAATGGTCCAAACCCAAAAAGTAACGTTCAAGAACTCAAGAACTTAGGAAGTGAGCTTGGTTTCGCTCGCTTGGGGGCTTGCGTTGTCGCATACTGTGGATGGACGAATCCTGCACCACCCAAATACCAGACAGTGGGATCTCATGGTTGTTTAGGTGGTGCGAACAGATTTGGTCCATCCACAGTAGAACCAGCAACAAAGTCCTTCTTCGCACAAACCGGGGCGCTCCGTTCACCGTGAGGGAGCTGAACTGGCCCCCGGTCAGGGGCATCAGCAGCGCCACCCGTGCGTTGCTGCCGTCGTTGTGCGGGGCGAAGAACTTCTCTCCCGGCGGGAGGCCGAAGAAAGCGACCTGACGGGCGCAGTTTTCTTGCTGGTGCCATAGGTAGGGAATGACCCAGGTTTTGGGAATGAACCTATGGGGATACCTGATGGGTGCAAAGTGTCTTGCTCCTGCGAGACTTGCGATCGGTGCCATAGGTAGGGAATGAGAAATGGAATGAACCCAGGGGTTCCCTTAAAGGAAACCACCAGTTGGATGGTTTTTAGGGGTCCTTCCATTTCTCATTCCCTGAGGACCAGCAGGTAGGGAATGACCCAGAGTTTGGGAATGAACTGATGTCCGTTCAAGGAATCCATAGGGGACGGGTTTTATGGGTCCTTCCCTCATGCCCTGCGGAGAACCAGCAGGTTGCTTGGGGCCGGATGACTTGCTGGCTCGAGGACGATAGGCAGGGAAGGAGAAATGGAATGACCCGGAGAAAACATTCCCGTTGGTTTCCGTGAAACTCACTCCCCTTCCGGTTCATTCCCGAAACCCGGAAGGTCATTCCCTACTGATCACCAGCAAGAGGAATAAACCCCTGGATGAAAAATGGGGGACGACCCCATCTTTTCGTGGGGATCCCCCCCCCCAAAAAAAAAGTGGGGCAACCCCTGGCCCAAAGAGCAACTTCATTTGCAGATTAGTGGAGAATGAGGTCATTCTCCCGAATACAAGGTTAAAACCCCAAGGCAATAGAATTCAAGGGAAGAGAACTTGTTGGCTGCGACCACATGAAGCTGCGAACTGCTCGGATCCCAAGCAAGCCTAACTTTCTTGCGGATCAGAAAACCACACCCGCGCAAAGAAAATCCACCGCGCAAGCCGCGCGTTTTGCCCATCGTGTCATAAGGGATACCACACCCAACAAAAATGTGGGGAGTGCTTTCTTTGACGTTGGAAGGGGAGCAAACATTTAAATTCTAGCAGTTTTGTGGGGATTTCAACCACTAAGCCACAACAAGCAAAAATGTAAAATGTGTCCCAACGGCAACCACGCTTTTCCAACTGCTGGTTTGGAGCGCGGTTTGGTGGGTGGGAAACCTTTCATTTACCCTCAGAACCGGGGTTCAACTCCAAACCCCAAGGCCCCAAGACACCCATTGGAAGTGGCACTTGCAAAGCACTCGAGAAATGTCTGCAGACATTTTCACGGACAAAAAGAAAGAGTAATGCTTCACTGATGAATGAAACTCCTCAAACCGGGCACTTGGTGGCTGGTTGCTGGTTACAAGCTCATGCCTAGCTTCGAGGCACACTCGTGGACTCGAACTTTCTGGAGGCTGGGCATCTTTGATCATGTGGGAAACATATGGGTCATCAAAAAGGGGGAAGCCTCAAAATGGGGCGGGTTTCTCTTCGGTTCCTTTAAATCATCCCCAAAACGGGCACACTCAAAAGACACATCTCCAGAAACAGCAACCCTTTCTGACTTCCTCACTTCAAATGGGGCTTCCTTCGCATGTTTTCGGTCAAACCAAGCATGCTCATCGGATGGTTTTTGGACGTATCTCAGGCAACCTGTTTTGGACCTCTGTTGTTGGGACAAGAACTGGCCACCTGAAACTAAAACGCCGCCTCTTCCTGCAAGTACGCCGCCAGAATCGAAGACTTGGAGTGCGGCAGCTGCGGCCTGCAAGAGCGCGGAGCGCACTGTTCGCCCAAACAGGTCGGCGCGCGGTGCCTACATTTGTCTTGCTGCTCAGTAGGGATTGACCCAGGGTTTGGGAATGAACCTTGGGGATGGTTTATAGGGGGTCATTCCCTCATTCCCTGCTGACCGCCAAGATTTGTGCTGCTCGACAACTTCGCACAAGGGGTCCAATGAATGAGTCCGCCGTGTTGGCCAGCAGCCGGGCGTTCACACTTTGCATCTTTCTTCAAGTCGAACTGCAATGTGCACTCGAAACTTGTTTGATCAAAAGGGCACCTAGAGTCACCAGCGCAGTGCCATGCACATCTTCAGCTTGAGATTACAGTACCTGACTCGGGAATGTGCAGCAAAGCATGAGAACCTGACTCGGGAATCTGCAGCAAAACATGAGAACCTGACTCGGGAATGTGCAGCAAAGCATGAGATGCTCCGGCAAGCGCGGGTTACGAGCCCAAGATTCCAGCTCCGCATCCCCCGTCGCCTCAGGGCCTCGCAGAGGCTGGGCATCTGTTCGCATCGCTCTTGCACCCAGCCATCCACCGCCGACCACACATCCCAGCACCACCAGCCCTCCCGCCCGCTGTACTCCTGGAGTCCGCGGGGGCCGAAAGACAACTGGTGCTCGTTTCCGGGCGAAAAAAAACGATCTCCCGGTGTCTTCCGAGTTCCAATAAAAACCTGAAGGCCACTGCCTGAGAAAGCCGAAACGCGGGCTTGCGGAGAGCCAAGATCACAAACTGGCAAAGCTTGGCTGCTGTACCGACGTGTCAACCAAAAAGTTCTTCAGACCAAAGATCCGTTCCCCAATCGCCAGAAAGAACGGGGTCTACCTTTCTGCCCAAGTTCTTTGGAGTCTGAACCCAGCGCCTTTGGTCCGTCGGACGGGGATGGGGTTTCCATGCGGCAGTCAAGGTGGACATCGGTGAAAGTAACCACTGTCCCATGAACACCACTTGGCGCATTGAAATTCCGAGTTCCCAAGTGTAACTCAAAAGTTGGTGAACTGGTAGATGTTCGGCATGCATGCTATTTGTAGGGCTACCTTCCCCATTCTGAACCCAGGGATCCTTCTTTTCAGGAGACCATCCAAAAACCCCGGTTGGAAACGGCTCCGGTGTTTGTAAAAGAGCGAGGGTTGAAAAGAATGGAAAAGGAATAAACCCCTAGACACTCGCCCTGAACCAGGAGGGTTTATCAACCAGGGGCTTCTGAACCAGGAATCAACCCCTAGAACCGTGGCAGCCATCTGCTGCAAAAATCCTCTCTCAGCGGACCTCCGTCAGCTCCTTTTCCGCCGAAAAAATGGGTGAGTTATCCCTGCATTTGCATTGGCGTTCCCTGGGAAAAAAATGAAAAAATGTGTCCAGTAGTGATAGATTCCCTTTCAAACCAACAGGTAAACAAAAAATGAAAAAAATATTTTCCCAGTAGTGATAGATTCCCTTTAAAACCAAAAGAAAAAAAGTTCTTAAGCAACTGGAAGTATCTGCAGCTCCTCCTCGTCCGGGGTGAGCTTGCCGCCCCTGGCTCCATAGGACCTGCGGCGGGTTGACTGACGCCTTGGGCCACGCTGTTGCTAGGGAAGGTCTCCATTGGCCGTTTTCTTCTCGGGGAGAAAAAAGCACATGGGTATGGGTCAAAATTGACCCACACCAAACCACCGCAGGCTTTAGCTCTTGTTTCCATTTATCGTGGCTCCATGTTGGGTACCTTTTTTTGACCCACGGCCACATCTGTTCCAGTGACAGATGCTTGGCTGCGCCATGAAAGGGCTCCATCATCCGCCCTTTTGCAAAAGAGATCCGACACGCCCACGGTGAATTGAGAGGATTACACTCAGAGTCGGCTCTTCTTTCCATGCGCGTTTCAGAATAGGGGTTGTTCGCCCTGGTTTTGAATTGGGTCCGCATATCTGAGGCCTGACTCGACAACCAAAAAGCCACGCAGGAAGAAGAGCTTGAATTTGGGGCCCTGTGGACGTCGATGAACACGGACATTCTTGTCCACCAACTATTTGGGGGGGTATTCCACATTCACATCGATGCCTATGCCACGTCTTCGATGTTGGGATCATTGAGGCCAATCCTGTAGCTTGCAGTGGGGAGAGGCAGCAGCGGGACAGGATTCAGCGGCCTGTGTCCATGTTTGCTCGAATTTGGGATGAAGTTTGACCCAGAGATGAGAGCCAAGCTGAAGTTTCACAGCTTGACAGCCAGTGATAGGAATCTCTTTGGGTGAACCTGTACCATGTAGCTCGCAACTCCTCAGTCACCTTCGCAGCGACTAAGGCCCTTGAATGAGTAGAGGTCTGGACAAATGGAGGCATACATCCCGTTGGGGGTTCTGGGGAATGAAAACCAACAGATAAATTTGGCACCCATCGCAACGCGAGCGCTTGGCTAAAGAAAGCCAGCAACAGGCATGAGCGTTCTCCCATCAAGCACATGAGCGTTCTGAAATGCAGTAGGGAGCCAACAAAACATATGTTCTGGGGTCCTTCTGGCTTCCGAATCAACCCCATCAAGCGGTTCCCATTATTTTCGTGGACCCTTGCAGGCAGGCCCACATCAGCTGCTGTGGTTGCCCGCTTGGTAGCATCGGAATTCCATACGTGTTCAGTGGCGGCAGGGAGTTCACTTGCGCCTTTACAAATGGCTCACTTGCCTTTCCGGGCTCGCTCGCGCCTAGTTTCACCTCACGCATAGCCCAAATGGCACGAGTGTTCACTTTCTTAAGGCACGAGCGAGCGATGTCCCAAGGCACGCTTCTCTTTCTTCGCTTTCTTCTCTCTCTTCTCTTCCTTCTCTTCCTTCTCTTTCTTCTCTTTCTTCTCTTTCTTCTCTTCCCACCGGCCACATGATTTCACTATCAAAGTCACTCCCCAAACGATTGGATAAAGGCAAACAACCCCAGCTGCTCACTTTGATATCCTCTAGAAACAGTCAAAATAATGACCCCAGTTGCACCCGTCATAGTTTCTGTCCTGTCCTTGGCCCTACCTCTCTGCAGGGAACGACCCCTTTTTCGCACTGACGGGCCTCAGGAACTCCGCCCGGATGGCTGGGAAATGCCGCCGGAGCGCCGACACCAGCTGCGGGTAGTCCTAAGCCGCGCTGGTTTGTCAACGAGGATACCCAACAACTGAGGTCAGCTCGCTTTTGCCCCCCCGCCCCCTCTGGAAACAGCATTTGCCACCTATTTTGAAGTTCACCAAGGCAGGGGTACAGGGTTTTGACCCCCCCCCCCGGGGGAAACAAATGGCCATGGGTCAAAGCCCCGTTTCCCCAGTGAACATCCCAATCCCCACTAAAATAGGTTCTAAAATGGGTGGCGCTCCGAAAACCCCAAAAATGGGATCCCATTGGCAAAAGGCCCCGCCGCCAAATTTCAGAGAAGAAAAAGCCGCCCGCGCAAATACATCAGCCCTTCCGTCCTGCTCTCCGAACCAGACTTGCGCTTTCAAGGAGGGGTAGAAAAGCATGGGCGTCTGCTCGAAGCGCTGCCAGGAGAAGTACGCCTGAGGGGACTCGGAACAACTCGGCCGTTGTTGGCGGCAGGGCCTAGATGGGGATGGGTCAAAATGATTCAGGAAAGGGACAGGTGGACTCCTCCATCTTTCCGTCCAGGAATCAAAATTTTGGGGGTTGCCCTATTTTTGGCCCACACCCGGAAGTACCCTACCAACCATGGAAGTGCACCAAGCCCCCTTTCCAAGAGGAAAGTCGTCTTTCTGCAGTCTGTGAAATTCCATGTCGGTGATGGGAGGGTAGATACCCACCAAAGACATCTGGTTCTCGTCCCGCTGCAACACATCTGCCGGAGCCAAGGTCAGGGCCCTTTTCTTCTTTCGAAGCAAGACACGAAGAGGAAAGCCGGAAGCACGGCCGGGAAGCGAGGTGCCCAAATTGATATGAGAAGCCCAGGGCGTCTCAAGTTCTGACACTGCTTGGAACCGAGGGCCTACGGACACTCCGCAGATTCACATGGAACTCAACAGCCTGCCCCACACAAATCCGCTTCTCAAAGCAGAATTCGGACCCCCCCCCCTTTTGGTTTTGTTGGAAACCGCCAGGAAGCCCCAGGAACGCCATCTTTGCGGCCCCGGAATGCCATTCCGCCGCGCCGTTGCTGGTGAAACACCCAAGTCGGAAAAGTCCACCAAAGCTTCAACCAAAAAAACGGCTCACTCCAAAGATCCGCTACCACATAGCCACCAAGTACTTTTCTTCCGAAGAGATAAGTTTTACATCCTGGGCTTTTCCGTGGTTACCTACAGGCCTAAGCCCTATAAAGCCCCCATCCACCCCACCCCCCCCACACCACCCCCCACACCACCCCCCACCCACCCCACCCCACCCCACCCCACCCCACCCCCACCTGGGTGGCGCTGAAGAGCTCCCGGGCGGTGGCTGGGTGGATCAGCTTCGCGAGGCTCAGCAGCTCCTGCAAGATGTGGCGGTCGTGGCAGCTGCTGTCCTCGAGGTCGGGGATGGACCGATGGGATCGGCCAGGGATCGGCCAGGAATGGAAAAAGCCAAACAAAAAAACGCGGCGCGGCGCGTTTTTGTGGGAAGGAAGGATGGAAGGAAGGGCCAGGAATGAGCCCAGAAAAGCTTGGGGGTGAAGGAAGGAAGGGGAGCAAGGGTGGAAGAATGAAGCCAGGGAAGCTTGGGGGTTCGTCTGAAGGAAGGGGAGAAGGGGAAATGAACACAAGGAAGCCATTCTTGCTTGAGGGGTGGAATGAATGAACCCAGCAAAATTGTGCACCAGGGATGCGACTCTGGCGGTGATTGCGGTGCAAAAAGACAAGATTGACACTCGGGGCGGGGGCAAGATGGAGCCAAAGGGTGTTAGTGACTCTGGGGGAAAGGGGGAAATGCCCCCCAACACGTGTTTTGAAAGAGCGGTCCAAAAAACAGTGGTTGGTTCTCCTTTGCTTTTCCTGCCAACCCAAACGAGTGGGCAAATCCCATGAGCAAGTCTCAAGCACGTTCCTTGCCAGTTCCAGTCTGCAATCAACCCCCCGGCCAACTGGACGAGAAACCAAGAGGCACAGCGAGCTCAGGCACGCAGGCCTCGAAGCAAGGCACTCGAGCGTCATGCGAGCAGCACTTTGGGATGCCCCAAGTGTGGAACCCGAAAAGAGGTGGACGCTGCTTCTGGTGTTTCCCTCTAAAGTCGAAAGGGCGCTCATCCTCAATTGGCCCTCAACAAACACCCACAGTATCTGGAAAGATCGCGGATCGGATGACCTGTACAACTTCCAGTTCCCTCACCTCTTTGGCCTTTCTGAGTTCGAAATTCCCAGGCAACTTGCTGTCTTCTGCCTCGCCGCCTGCATGTCATCCAAAGCTACGATAGCCGCCCGACTTGGAGCATGCGCTAGCCGCTCGACAAATCAGTCGGGACCATTCCCCAACCCTGGTCCCGTTTGAAGATGCATTGGTGTTTTGACTGTGCTTCCTTCCCGCACAACCGCAGAAACCATCACGTGCGCTCTCCGGTACACGAAGAGCTAGCCAGCTCCATGGTCGCCGACGTTTTCGTGATTTTTCTCGCGTCAAACCAATGGCCTCCCAGCGACCTCTGGCATCTCCATGGTCTGCAAGCTCGGAGTGCCTGAGTTCCCACATCGCATTGCTTCAGTGTCGCCCCTTCCGCAAGCGGTTCTTGCAGGGTACCCAGGTACCAGGATGGTTTAAAGGGCAACCGCAAGGAAAAGCCGGCTTCTGTTGCGGGCGCCTGTTTTGACGCCCCTGTTTTGACGACCTGCGCCACACAAGAAGCCCACCAACTCGATGGGAGGGGTTCCTCCATTAAGGGGCGACGCCAAAGGCTCACTTCCACCCCAGGAAGGGGTCATATCAAACCCAAGCAGGCCACAAACCCCAGGAACCTTGCTCGCAGGGATCACTGCAAGACGAGGCCCACATGGGATGGCAAAACCGGGGCCTCTGTTCAGGGTTGTGAGAAGCCAAACCGCAAGATACCTGAGCCTCCGTGCAAACCCAGAGCTTCAACGACCCTCATGGAAAAACTGATCCGACCCTCGGGGCACCGTCGACTGCGCTTCCAAACATGTCAAGCTTAGGCCGACGCTGTCACATGTGAGCTTGTGGGCTGGAATCTAACAAGGCCCAATGAAGCCAAGGCGCTGACCCAGCATTCCGGCCGCAGCATGGATTTGCCTCGAACCGCTGGTTGCACACTGACACTAAGGAAGCCAGTTGCAACTGAAGGCGTCTCTTTCTTGGGGTGCCTGTGCAAAGAAGTCTCCTAAGGCTGCCTTGACAAGGAATTGAAGGGTCTTGGCCATCGGTGTCCTTTTGGACAAGTAGATTGGTAAATGATTCGAACCAAATTGAAACCAGTGCCATCCTTCGAACTGACCTATGGTCTTGGCTTCTGGGTGCCTTGGCCTTTCGCGTTCGGGGAAGGGGGGAGCCATTTTCAGCTTTCCTCCTGGTTTGGAGCCCTGTTGCCAGGTCGGGCAGTGTCCCAGTTATCCTCTTTCCTGCAAACTGCAAAGGAAATCCCAACCACAATCCAGACCGCCAATTGAGGCTCCCCCGAAATTCCCTTTTCAGGATTCCATCTCCTATCCCACCTGTCCCAACCTGCGTGTGTCTGGTTTCTTTGCAATAGAAACCAGAACGATCCAGGACCCCCCAATTGGACCCCGGCGGCCAGGCGCCCGGCTGAGCATCTGTGCGCGGTGGGCCAAGTGCCGCCAGGACAGCTGCCCCGAGGCCGCCGCGGTGTGCTGCGCCTCGGCTCTGAACGCGTTTCGCGGGAGCCGACGCCCCGTTTCGCGGGAGGCCAGATGGATCCAGGGCGGTCCCCCCCCCCCAAGAAAAAAAAGGAATGAAAAGAAAACTGGGGAACCCAGCATCTAGCAGGCTGGGGCCCTCAATCAAAGGATTTGCTGCGGATCGGTTTGAACAGCTGCGTGTGCCATATCAAATGGATGGATCAAATTCGAGAAAAAAACGTGTCAACCAAAAGGACAAAGTCCAAAGATCCGTTGCGGTTGCCAAATATATAGCCGTAAAGTTTAAAAAGCAGCAATGCTTCCCGGTCTCCATTCAAGAATCTTGCCATGCCTTACATTGCAGCGAGGCTCTTGTCCATCTTTTAAGAACTTTTAACTCCCAACCCCGTGAATCAGCACATAGCCCCATTCGGCACCCAAAAAAAGGGGGCTCCTCCTTTTGGTAAGCCATTTTGCATGTTTGAAGGGATGCCAAAAGGACACGTATCAAGTTCCCCGAGGCCCCATGTGCAGCAAATGCTCGGAAATCTAACATGTTCAGTGCTAACCTTGTGCGGGTGTCGCATAGGTTCCTACAGAAACTATACGGTCAGAATAGCTTGCTACGCCCAAAGGACATGGGAAAAATAGCGGGTCACCCGGTTTTTCATGGGAAACTTTGCAAGTTCCCCCATGTCTCACGTCCCTCCCAAATGGGACCATAACCGCGGAACAGGGCGCCATGAGCGACAAGAAGGTCTGCCACAGCGCGTCGCACGCCTCCCTCTGCGCCACCCGGGAGCAAACGCCTCAGGCGTCGTAGCCGTCGCGTGGCCGGAATTTGGACCCCAGCCAAAACATATATGCTTTGCCTGGTGAGTGGAAAACAAAGGGAACCCCCCCCCAAAAAAAAGAAGGGGAGCTAATTCTGGGAAAGTAACGTTGGTGGCGGGGTTTGGCCAAAATGCGTCTGGGTACCCTCCCCCAAACGATTCCACGGAAGCTCCCAGGACCCAAACATGGAAGACTTGGTCCCAGAGGCCTGCTTGGAGCCTCCATGCTAGTCTGAGGGAGTGTATTATTTGTATTTCGGGGACCCTTTGTAGGACATCATTTAGGTGGGGAATTTAGGTTGGGATTTGTATGTGCCACCACTGTCAGCCTCTAAGATGGTGGTGTCCCCTACTCAAATCACTCTGAGAAAAAACATAAGCCACTCTGTAGCCATATCAAGGCTTGCGGAACCCATCGCTTTCTGACGGTTTCCACGTCCTCCTGGGATGTACAGCTCCAATGTTTCCAGGGCCTGTCTGCTCTCTCGCGGGTCCCGGTGGTTTGGGGATAGTTCAGACGCAATCTTGAAGTTCTGGGACGAGTTCGGCATATCTCCAAGAGGAAATATGTTTTTGTTTCTCGTTTTTTTTGGGGGGGAGGCCGTGCCGTGGACACTTCGAGTCGCTTCTGATTCTGTAGATATGAACCCGAGAAAAACAATACCAACACCAAGTGTCCACCATACGGGAGTGGGAGGGGGGCATTTAGTTCAATCAGGTCGCCTTAGGATACTTTTTCAACTCCGAGGAACCGCTCGAAAGCGGACCTTGAATTCCTAACCGGGTTTCCATTTGTTTGTTGCCCCAAGACTTCAACCCAGGAGTTCTCCTTTTGCGGAAATGAACCACTGAGTATACGTCTAGCGGGCAATGAAACAAAAGGAGCCCTATGCCTAACTATTTCATACTGCATGTGCAATGTATGCTTTTAGTGGGTGGTTGACCAAATTCCAATATCATAGATCTGACACGGAGAATCCAAGGTTACTTAGGATGTGACCCTTTTGCTGTTGCTTGGTTCCCTCAAAACGTCCCCAACCAAAAAGACCCAGGAAGGGCGCGCCTTGCACCATGGCATCGCACGCCGCGCCCTCGCACAGCGCGCCGTCGCCGCGAAACGGAAGCAGCGCCCACGCCAAGGCCCCCAGCGGCCGCATCGCCTGATCGCCGGAGCGCCGGATCAGGCAGCAAAGCGAGCAACGTGGGTGACCCGCCGAATGGTGTTTGTCGTGGTAAGAGGTGCTCTTTGTGGTTACAACCTAGGGTTTTTGCGAGGTGCAAACAAAAAATGGACAGACTCCAGTTGTGCTAGTCACTGGATTTGGCCTTTTGTCAGCGAGCTCTGTGAGACTCACGAATCAAAACAATGTTGCCGCCAACCATCATGCGTGCGCGCGAAACTCCCAAAGGCAAGTGCTTATTGCTTGGGGAGCTGATGAGTTCCAGGGTTCGCCCTGGCCCTTCTATTTTCAGGGGCCCCTTTGGCCCAAAGCCCCAAAACCACAACTTTGAAGCGCACGCCTCGGCTCGCGGCTAGGCGCGGCTAGCTATCTGCTGGCGATTCACCATGGCGTGCCGAAGGTGGCAAACTCCACATGTTGTTGCGCCCAGCTATTTGCATCAGAAGGACAAATGAAATGATTCGGCTTCGGTCAGAGGACAGGTGTTTCTGAATGCGCCGGTACTCCCAAACTTGGCCATGAAACGTAAACTTGATACATAGGCTCCTGGGCAGAAGGGTTCAGTTGCCCCTTCTTTGCCACATCATCCCCATCTCTGCAAAGAAGGTCAAGCCTGCACTTGCGCTCCATGCAAAGAAAGGCATGAGACCCAAAGGCGCTGCATTTATATGGTTCATTTTCCGAATCCTTGGCTCGAGCGGCAAATGCTCTACGCTTCCAGAATGGATAAATCATTCCAAGTCCTATCAACAGGCCGACCTACAAGAACTGGGAAAGCCAAGTTGCATGCGATGCTCGGTTGCTTTATCTTTTTATTGTTTACTGTTGTTGTTGTGTTATTTTTTGTTGTGCGCGGGGGTGCTATGGCATGCGCATCTTTCCGCCTGGATCATGAAGACCTGGACAGGGGGAAGTGCGGTTTGAGGAAGTGCGGCTAGCAAGCGCTTCTTTTTCGTGCCAACTAGTACTAGGCCTAGTAGAATCGCCAGGACTCCTCGTGTGGATGGCCATAATCTACTGGACACTCCAACAAAAGAAGGCGAATGACTTTGATCAAATCGGTCGCGGACGGGTAGCGGAGCCACAGGGAAACCCAGTTCTCAACTCCAGCGTTCTCAGCCCCAGTTCTCAGCCCCAGTTCTCAGCCCTTTGTCCACTTCCATGTTTGCTGGAAAAAGGATCAATCACGGAATCCGGCACCTTCTCATCACTGCCATGGCCAGCAAATGTCTTGGTCAAGTGATGCCTCTAAAATCTCGAGGGGTTCCCATCAGTCACGTCACCTTGGGCAAGGATAGCGTCAAAGAAAGCCAAGCGCTTCAAGTCACCATGAAATCTGGCGCTTGGAAACCTCTTGCTTGCCTTTCGTGCGTTGCCTGAAAACAAGCTGATTCAAATGAAGGGCTTTATCCATCCAAAACGTGATGCGTCTCGCTCGCAAAGCGGTATCTGAGGACTTCCCTGGACGTACGCTCCTTTCTCCGAAAGCACTCGACGCGGTGGGATACAAACGAATTGTATCACCCGCCGTCCTTTCCAGTCGCATCGTCTCAAAACCAAATTTAACGTAACGTCTTGTTGACAGGTAGGAGTTTAGCATGGAGGACTCCAACACTTTGTCGTAAAAGGACCACCCTGCCATTCTTAGATGATGATCAAGGACATATGATATGGGAAGAAACACGATGGCAAACGCGTGAGGAGGAGTGTCTCGCATGTCACTGGGCTTATTGTGCCCGCCAGGTCCACTGTTGAGCCGCACATGGAAATCGCTATCACAGGAGCAGCATTTGCATCAGACAGTGTGAATATCGTCACGCTCATAAAGCCATCAATGGAACCCTGCATTCTGGCCAAATCAGCCCCATGTATCGTCTATCATTCCAATTGGCCATGTTTAGTTCAGCTTTCCCCTAATTGGTGGTGCCGGTTTGTGGTTCAGAGGTGGTTTTCCATTTAACGAACCAGGGCATCAAATCCAAGTCATCCAACTCTAACCTCCCCATACCCGCCAAACCGAAAACTCAGCGGCTGTCTTGGGACCTCCGGCGCGACTCTGGAGCAAGTCCAGCGGTGAAACATCTCTCGAGTCAGCGCACCGAAGAGCACCTGCGCTCAAGTTTGAGCCATGTGAAACCCATGGGTTGCTTCCTGGTGGTTTCCTTGTGGTTTCCAGAACTTCCATTTGGTTAAGACCTGAAGACTCCCGGAAAAAATACAAAAATATGTCCAGTAGTGAGTTCTTTCCTTTTAACACCAACAAGGAAAAATAAAACATATTCTTAAGCAAATGGAAGAAAGGAGGGGTGAACACCACCAATGGGTTGTTTCCTTGTGGTTTCCCTTTTTTACCATCCACATTTTATGGGTCCACCAGTTTGAGAAACCTCACACTGGCAACCATCCAGGTACATGCACTCTCACCACGCGCAAATTGGGTGAGCAACTTGATCAGTTGGTGAGTCACCTTATGCTGACCAGGCCACTTTCCATGAATCAAGCTGGATGCAGGTCTGCGACGTGAATCCTCTACGATTCTATGTGCCCTTGCGACAAGGATCTGCAAGTGAGTACAGAAGTCCAGGCAGAACTGGAAGCCGTGGAGAGGTCGAGCACACCTTGCTGACCAACAAACCTCCCATGGATTTACATGGGGAAAAAAAAAGAAGAAACACATGGTGCGCATCTTCCTCAGGTTGCAGGCCAAGGGGTAAGTCAAGGAAAAGCCAAACCTCCGGAGGATCACCTGCCACTTGGAGCGAAAACAAGACTGGTCTGCGCATTGTTGCCGCTGATCTGCAGTTGACCCGCTGACCAGCTGGTTTGGAGTCACCCGTTCCTCAAATGTTGCAAGCAAGCAAGAGACACCTGAGTTTACCGCGGCTTCTGCTTGGAGGGTGCTTCTTTGAGGGGATCCTTCTTGGGGTTGGTTTAAGGGGAAACAAAGCAAAACCCGCAATTTGGTGGGTCCCCTCCATTTTGGGGCCATGAATTTCAGCAAGGGCCCACCCCAAGAGCGGTTGGTGGACATGAATCGCCAAAAAATACGTCCACCATTTCGGGTTCAAACCCATGTGGCAAACTCTCTTTCTCTGAGGGCACCCATTTTTCGGGCGGAATTTTACGGGAAACCCAACGGAAAAACCAGCAATTTGGGGGGCCCTCCTTTGGAGCACCAGGTGCGCGCCTTCAGAAGCCCAACTCCAACTGCACCGTCTTAATGGGCACCGAAACCTCGGTTTCGAGCTGCTGTGGCTCGGGTGTTCGGTTTCTGGTTTCTGAGAGGGGGGAGGACGGGGGGGTGGGTTTTTGGAGGGATGCCCATGGGCAGAAACCGCATCCCATGAGTTTGCAACCGGGGGTTCGGGGTGTTTTGGGCTTCGATTCAAAATGACGTCTAGTAAATGTGTCAATGGCACCAGGGGGGCCGGGGGGGGGGGGGTGTCAAACGCGAGGTCGGCCCCTGAGTGGCAACGATCACATGCGAGGAGTTTCCTTGAAGCGAGCAAGCAGGCTCGGAAAATGTAATGCAATGGCCAATGTTCACTGCTCTCCAAAAGTCTCATGCGACACTTGCTGGGTGCCGTGAACTATTCGGCTCGCCGGTGGAGTAGAGCTTCCTCTTGCCCCCAAGGGCTCGACGTGTTCCGATTCATGTCATAGAAACAACTGCGTATCAAACAGAAGAGACTCTTTGTGTCGTGAGATGTGTCCCTCGATAAGTTGTCTACGACAAACAACAATATTCCCACCAAAGACCTGAAAGGGTTGGCATCAAGTGCTGATCCTGGCAAACCGCTTGGGTATGGCGAAGAAGGCAGTGTGATCATCTGAAAATAGCGCGCAGCTCAAGCATTGCATCATCATACCTGGAACATCCAAAACGCGTGATGTGTTCAATGAAAGGCGCTGCTGCTCGCATAGGAAGACTCGCTGTGATTTGCATGAGTGGAGAAACGGCAGTGAGCATGAATCATCATTCCAGGGGGTGATTCCCCATTCTTTTCAACCATCGTTCTTTTCAAAAACCTGCCGTTTTCCCTGGGATTTCGGAGGTTTTCTAGAGAGAAGAATCCCTGGAAATGGGGAAGGTACCCCTAGAATCATGGTGTTTTCCTCTTAAGAGCGATGTCTTGCCGCACAGAGTGACCTGCTGTGGTCACAACAAGCGCGCCGTTGTCCCTCCCACTGTGAAGCCTGAAAGAAAGCGAGTTCTTTTCGAGTCATTCACTTGCGCCTGAACCCAAGGCGACTGCAATCTGTTGTCCTGAGAGCCAAAGAGTCCCCACCTCCACCCCTCCGCCCCGCCTTGGAGTTTTCGCGCGTGGCAGCGGACCCCTGGCGCAGCATGTTGCAACCCCAAGTGCGCAGGGGACCCCCAACAAAGAAACCGCCGGGGAGCCAAGGCCGGGGAGCCTCGCGCTCGCTTGCGCTTAACCCAAAGGCCTTTGGACTTCCAAGCGCCGCCCAAAAAGCAAAGAACCAGCGGCTCTGCGGGGTTGAGACGGGCATGTCCCAAAGGCCATGTCTTTTTCAAGGGGTCTCAAAGGAAAACCGACAGGTTTTTCCACCCGTGTGGGCTTGGTTTGACAAACCGAAGCATGGATGATAAGGACACCAATAAGCTGTGGAATTGAATTTCTGCCAGATCCTGCAGAGCTCGGGCCATTTGGGCCACTTGTGCCGATGCTCTCGAGGTGGCGAGCTCGTGTGCGGTCAGGCCACTAGGGCCACTTGGAAGCGCTCAAGGTGTGGAGAAAATCCATGGCCTCTGGGTCCTGTAGAGAGGGTTAGAATAAGTGGGTACCCGATGTTTTTTTTTCCTGTGGTCGATTTTGGGGAACCGAATCTCCCCCAGAAAAGTGGGTAACAGGGCAGCACTGGGGGACCCAGGCATTGGAAGATGGCAAAGCAAAGGCTGCCATTGAATGACTCGCACTGGACTGGAGACTCTAGACGCCGATGCTTCACTTTTTGGGTACAGGCGGGATTTGTTCAAGTCAGGTTTCTTGGGCTCGGATGGCAGAATCATCCTCAGAGGTTATCCAGAGGCTCAAATCCAAATCCAGTTCCCACCAATCCAAACCCATTTTGGGTACCTGAGAACAGGGCCCCACAGCTTTCAATCTGAAAAGCATCAACATAGATATTCTTCCTTTCCGCGCAGATGAGCACCCGGATGTTTTACACGAGCATGTCTTCGGCGAATGAAAAGAGCGGGCAGCTCAAACAAGATCTGAAGCTGCAAGCGTCCCCAAACCGCTCACACAAAATTGTTGTCTGACATGCTCGACATCCAAGCGCATGCAGTCAAGATGGCCATTTGATGAATGCAAGGGGATGAACAGGTACACGTATGGCCGTGGGTCAAAACCGTTTTGGTATCCCATTTTGGTTGATAGGTGCACCACCCATTTTAGAACCTATTTTAGTGGGGATTGGGATGTTCACTGGGGGTACGGGGTTTTGACCCATCACCATATTGTCCTACGACAGGGTAATCTTCTTGAACACTTTTTGGGCGGTCAAATAACCCCCCCTTCCCCTTGGTCGGTTGCCTCTGGCTTCCGACATACCAAGGCTTCAAAAGGGGAGCCCGAAAGACATCCATCATATGGCTGTGGCTCAAAAAACCCGGAAGTCCCCAAAATTTGGAACCCTGGCAAGTGGAAACGTGGACCAAGACCTGCGGTCTGCCCCTCCTGTTTAATTTGAGCCACACCCATATGTCGCTTTTCTTGTCCCCGGCCTTGAGGGCAGCCGCAGCCAGCGCCTGCTTGGCAATGCCTCGGTTTTTTTCTCGAGAAGGCGAAGCCCGGCGAAACGAAAGGACCTCATTCTCGCCAGCAAAACAAGGGAACCACACAAGGGAACCACCACCAAAACAAGGATGGTGCGATAAGCAGGGAATGTGGTTGAACACACAAGCAAGGAAGGAAGCAAGCAATCAATCAAGCAATCAAACAAGCGCGCAAACAAAGAAGGACACTGGCAAGCCAACAATCTAGCAAGCACTCGGCAAGCGAACACGCAAGCATGCAAACGAACCGAGCAAACAAACGCAAGCAAGCAAATATGAATTCAAGCAAGCATACAAGCCAGCATTCACAAGAACCCGTAAAGAGACGCAACACCTCCAGGGTTGGACTGCTCATTCCCGGTGTTTACCAGTTGATTTCAAGGTGGAACCAAGGGTCTGGCCCACCACATCTCACCCCGAACCCCTGCGGAGCGGATCCTCAAGGAATGTCCAAAGTGTTGGTATTCAAAAGGGAAGCCCAAAAGACACCGACGGTTTGGGGAGGGGGGGGGGGTTGGCTTATTTTGAGACAGACCCATGTTGCCGATATCCGCAGTTTGGTGATAGGGCCGTCATTTTGGATTGTCAACCCTTCTGGGTTATATCACCGTTTGAGGGGGTTTGGGGGATTTCGTCTGGTTCGTCTTGCACAAACTGCCAAATTCGAAGAGTGCATCATACAGGGGGAAAAAACAGCCAACCAATCAACCAACCAACCAACCAACCAACCAGCCAGCCAGCCAGCCAGTCAGCCAGGCAGCCGGCCAACCAACCAGCCAACGAGCCAGCCAGCAAACCAGCCAGCCAGCCAACCAGCCAGCCAGCTAGCCACTAGCTAGCCAACCAACCAACCAGCTAGCCAGGCAGCCAGCCAGCCAACCCAAGCAGTTCCTTAATTCTAGGAAACGCCCGAGCGCCAGCAAGACGGCGTGGCACCGAAAGCTTCTTACAAAGCCCCTCTGACCGAGTGCACTGGGGCCCGATCGCATTAGCCGGGTCGGGGCAGGGCGGATCCGGCCTGCACAAGCAGAAACGCTCCCATACGCCTGATTCCCTGAGTGGATGCTTCCGACTTACCTTTATTTGAGATTTAAGGATGGGCTTTGCGTAGTAAGATATCATGCTTTCTCATGTCCCCTCAGATTTCGGGCCTATGAGGGCTCCTCATAGTCCCTAAGCCCAAGGGTCGAGTAGCCAGCCAATTTAACAAGTGCACCGAATGGTTGTTGGGGCTTGATCAAATCAAGCAGGCCAAGTGGCAAGTGCCACATGCCATGGCAGAACCAACAAGTTTCATTTGGAAGTCTCTGAAAATCAATTCGAACGCCTTTTGGTGGGTATTTCAACAGAAGCAATTGGAAACCAACCACTATATTTTGAGACACCCTTCTGTCAGCTATAGCCACAAACTGCCGCAACTCAGCCCAGTCCCGCCTTCATTTGGGCCATCGCTGCCACCTTGGCCTTGACTCCTTCTCCCTCCAGAGACGCCTTCGCTGCCTTTGCCTCGGCCTTCGCTCGGGTCGTGGCTGGGGCCTTTTGGAGCCTCGCCTTCCATGAACTTCTCCTCGTGCGGGACGCCGCCTTCAGCCCCAACTTTCGGGCTTTCTTCGAGCGCGTGCATGGCGTCCTCAGATGACAAGGGCCATGGAGTCATTCGTCAAACAGGCAGTTACATACATACGAACCCGCTTCCCTCTGGTCCAAACGCAAGCATTGAAAAGGTACCGCCAGAACCCCCCTTTCCCCCCCCCCTGCCCACTGGCTGTTGACAATTTGCAAACAGGGGTAGGTTGCAAATTCCAACATCTGGCAAGGTTTGTGGTGTTCAAGGCTTGTCTAACTTCCCTAGAGTAATTCAACATCATGTTGTTGATATTCGAGCTGTCCTCAACGAGCATTTGAGGTGAGCTTGCTCGGCTTTAAATAATCTTTGCCAGCTGAAACTTTGGTCTGCGTGTCAAGCAGCCTTGAGAGAGGCAACAGGTGATATTTGAGGCTTCATCTCCGCGGTGAGAGCTATTCCTTTCCCATCCCTTTGCTTGGAATATCAGATACGGAAAGGGATGGGAGTGATAGGAAAGGAGAGGGACATCTCAGCACTTGCCTCCCACGCAGCCAATCAAACCAAATATACTTTCCAAGAGATCATTGGCTGTGGCCCCATCTCTTCTTCTCTGTCCCACTCTCTCCTTTCGTGATTTCCAGAGATGCACTCGATGGCGGAGCAGGGGAAAAGAGTGGGAATCCATTCCTTTCTCTCATCTGATCCACCTTTAGCTTTCATACGAATGGACCAGGATAGAAAAGTCAGGGATGAAAGGAGGGGGACGAAAGGATTCTCTCAGCATCTGATGCCTTCCAAGGAATCATTCTATCCATTTCCTGTTCATTACTCTTCTCAGCTCTTCTTCCCCTTTTGTGGCCCTTCACTTTTCCAAATGTCCAAGAAGCAACAAAGGGATGCAAGAAGATGAGATGAGAGCCAAGCCTCTATCCTTTCCTGGCTAATTGAAAGGAGAGGCTTAGACATTCCAATCTTCCCTCTGGTTCCTTTCGCATCAAATATCTACAGTAGGAAAGGGAAAGAGTGACTCTGTCTCTCTTCTCTCCTCTCTTCCTCTGTCTCTCTTCTCTCCTCTCTTCCTCCCTTGACTGCCTCTCGACAACATCTGGCCCAAGCATCTGTCGCTATGTGATAGATGCTTGTAAGCTGATAGCCAGTGAAAACGATTCTTAGGGAGATCCTGACCAAGAGCGAGTGACGTAGACGAGAGGGGGGCATCTTTACCTGACATCTTGTACCTTCATCAGCAGGCAGAGAACAGATCAGTCTTACATATGGTTCTCTCAAATCATGTTTGAGATCCAACAGTAGCATATGGTTGATGACGGGAAAGTCCCCTAAGGCTGCATGCTGAACGGACATGACAGTCAAAGGTGCCAACTCCTCACTAGCAGCAAAACAAACCTCAATGGAGGGGGTGAAAGAATTAAATGAAATTACATGCATAATCTTATGATCTCGTAACTTGGTTTTAAAAGTCCCCCGCCCTTTTAATCATGTGAGGCGGCTTCTTTCGGCCGCTTTTTTTTGTCGGTTTGGGTCGCTTTTCTACGAAAAAGGACGGGCGGCCACGCCCCCGGGTGCAGTCCAAGGCTCGGGGAGAAGCCGCTCGCGCTCGCCCGGGTTGCGCACGGGGAGAAGCCGCTCCTCAGGGCATGGCCCTGGGCTTTTCAAAACCCAAATCGTCCAGTGAACATCCGATTCAATCCAACCACTAGAAGAGGTAACCTACAATGAGTGGTGAATTCACCAATCCCAACCAAAATGGGATCCCAAAACGGTTTTGACCCACTGCCAAATCCGAGATGAGGGGGGGTGGGTACCATAGGGGCGAAACAATCCGAATGGGGGAGTTCCCAGGGTTGGGGGGGGGTTCTGGGGGGGGTCCGGGGTTGTTGGGGGGGTTGGGGTACCATTGAAACCACAATTCAGTCGTCGCCATGGGTAAATGTGCTTCTTGTACTACCTCAGCTTGTGCCCAACCCACAATCACAGCTGTGGGTATTTACAGCATGCAAACGGAAAAGGGCCCCAGTCAAGGTACCACTAGAGAATCAAATATCAGGAGTCATGACCAGTTCCCTCCGAGCCTGATTGGGGGAACAAAATGACCAAGTGAACAGAATGACTTGAATGACCCCCCGGATTCCTTGAAATTGAAAGAAGGAACTGGGGAAGCCCTATGATTGGGTTCCTTGCAAGATCCATGGAATTCAGTCATTCCATGTTCAGACCCATGTCCTTGAATAATTCTTGGAATCAGCAACAGAAACGGCACAGCTGCGGCATCCCCAAGGCGATTTGTTTGCTCGGGACGGGCGCAAAGTGTTTCTCAAAATCGGACTGCAACCCCGAGGAAAAAAAGGTCGGCGCGTGGCTTCTTTCGGCGTTCCTTCAAAGACCAGCCAAGCAGCGGTTGCAAAACCCTCCCCTTCCCTAAGACCAGCCAAACAACTTTTGAACAAACCCTCTCCTTCCCTTCAAAGACCAGCCAAAAAGACCAGGGAGAAACAAAGAAAGCTGCCTGAAAGCTTCGGACCGAACCAGACCCCGCCTCCCTCGACCCCCCCCCTCCCTCGCCCCCGCCTCCTGGCTCTCTCCTTCCTCGGCCTCGGCCTCGGCCTCGGCCTCGGCCTCGCCCTCCGCGCGCATCTGCACCATGGCCAAGAGCCGCAGCTTGCTCCGCTTCCGCTTCCGCCTCCGGCGCTCCTGAACGACGCGACGCGCCTTTCCGCCGAAACAGCGGCGCCGAAAAGGAGTTGCGGGGACCCGTGGCAGAAGCTGCCAGGGGGAAAAAGGGGAGGGACTATAACCTGTTCAAGTCTCCATGAGGCCCCCATGGCCACCAAAAAAAACAGCTTGCAAGGTGCTTGAAAGGCAAACAAACAAAAATCACCACACCTCCGAAAAACCCGCAACTCTTTCTCCTGGGTCTCCTCCGGCGCTTTCTCCTCCTCCCGCTCCTTTCGGGGCTCCGCCAGCGACTTGAGGCGCTCCAGGTCCAAAGGCCTTGACTCGCGCCGCGCGCTCACGGAGCCCGACTCCTCCGAGTCCTCCTGCGGCGACTTTGCGCGGCGAAGCTTTGCGTCGCCGCGCGCCGGCGACGTTCTCGGGGGATTTTGTCCCGATTTCTCGGGAATGAACCGGAAGCTCCCAAGAACCGCAGAGGACCCAAGCCATGTCGCGGGAATTGAACTGAGCCATCCAGCTGGCAAGAGGTGACTCCCTACGTACTGAGAACCAGAAAGATGAACCTCTTGTCCTGAAGCCCACCTGGGCCGTTCCTTGAGCCCCAGAAAAGCACCAACATGCTCTGTCATTCCGAAAAACCCAAGCAAATGTTCCACTCGGAACCCCACTACGCGGCTGGCTGTAAAGCTTGACTTAGGGTCCCAACCCCCCCGAAAAACATCGCCCCAAGCCGCCGGGAAATGCCCGGATGCAGATGTCCGTGCTACCTTTACCCACCCCACCGAAAGGAAACCAAATGTTTCGAAGGAACTCCAAAAGGGGAGCTCCCGCAAGGCCCCGAGCAGTGATGTCTAAAGCTGAAAAAGCCGACTGAGAGGAGGCAATCATCCTGTGAAAGCTCCATTTGGGGTTGTCCATGGGACAAAGGCCAACACCCAAAGCGCAGCGCTGTTGGAGAGGCGATCGGATCAGACCAATTCCAATCCAATAAAATCCTGTCCAATCCGATCCCAATCAGACCGAGACTCATCGATCCAATCTGCTCCAATCCGAGCAAAGCCAATCAAATCACATCCACCTGAGTCAATCAAACTGACCCGATCCGGTCCTAGAAAACCAAATCCAATCAAGTCCTACTAAGTCCAATCCAGTTCGAACAAGCTGGAACACTTCAAGGCACATCAGGCATCCCAGGCATCCACTCCAATCAAATCAATCCATCCAGATCCAATCTGATCGAATTTGTTTTAAACAAATCAAGTCAAATCAAATCCAACCAAATCAAACTAAATCCAACCAAAACAAATCCCAGTCAAATCCAGTCAAATGCGATCCAGTGCAATCCAAATCCAATCAAATCATGTTTTTTGCGAACTCCAATCCAATCTAACCCGAATCAAGACCCAATCAACAACTATCAAACAAAGTCCAGCCCTAAATCCAATCAGAATTCAAATGCCTTTGTCTCAAACCAGGAGAACCACGTAAAATGGGGTTGGGTAGTTGTGGCTTCCCTTGAAAAAACCCACACCCTTCGCCTCAAGTTTGGTGACGCCCCCCGCATCCGCCGCCGCCTTCCGCCGCGGCCGCGACAACTCCCGCGCGTGGGCGAGCTGCTCTTCCGCAGAGCGCACGGCGCGGGCTGCCGCGCGAGCAACTGGGCCGGCCTGAGCTCGGGCGTCGTCTCGTGACGCCCCTAAATGGGTGGTGTCCTTCCGGGTTTTGGGAGAAGAAAAAAAAGAAGAACAAAAAAAGAGAAAAAAACACGGATGAATAAACACCTCCTAGTCCCCTCCAAAAGTCTGAATATCAATCAGGGGTCTATAATCCGGAGTTCCTATTATTATTGCCAACATGGGGTTGTCTCCAAACGGGTACCCTAAAAAAAAGACACAGCAGTCTGAATCGCGTTTAAAGATTCCCTGCGTTTTCCTATACTCCTCCTTTGTCCTCGGTATGCCAAAGCCAACCCCACCCCACCAACATGTATATATACATATATATTTCTACATATACATACCCAAACCCCTTTTTCCAAACTGACCGACCAACGACCCGCCTCCACACTTTCTTTGGGCCGCGCCAGCTCGGACAGGCGCGCGAGGTCCAAGGCACGCGAAGGCTCCTCACGGACCTCAGAAGTAGCGACAAAGTCGCTTTCCGGCATCTGGTCGCTGGTGTTTGGATACACAATTTCACTCGCCCGGCTACGGTAGATCGCGAGACGATTTTGATTTTGTTTCCCGCTTCCTATTTGGAACTAGCGCGGGTTGCAGTTCTGGGTGTTCCACTCCTCTGCCAGCTAGCCTTCCAGCCTCAGGACCTTCTTGTGGCCTTCCCTTAAAGGACGGGGAGGAGCAAAAACCGCCGATAAAGGGCGGTTCTCGGTTCTTTAGCGCTGCGCGCAGTTCGACACAATCTGCAGTCGCGGCCCCTCATTGTATATGCATGTGCATATATATATATATATAGATATATATATATATATATACATTCACATGCATTTGCAATATAGATATAGACATAGATGCATATGTTCATCATGTTGAAAATGTATGACTATGTAGGATGCATGGACAATCAACTTATTTACTTCCTCTAGACTCCAGCACCTTCACACATTTCGCCAATAGCCATGCCAGTGTCAATCCTAGGCATGCATATGTCATTTCAGATGATCGAACACTCACATATACAGGTTTACAATTGTCCATGCATGTAGCTGGGCACTTGCGCATCAAGATGTGTAATTGGTGTGTCTCTGTGTGTGTGTGCGTGTGCATTTGTATGTTGTAGACATATTGGGAAACTGGGGGTGTTCCCGTTGAGGTTGAGTCTGATGCTGAGGAAGGAAGGCGTTCCTCATGCGGCAAAGCGTCCAGAGGTTGCCCAGAACTGGGACGTTCTGACTAAGTATGTACAGCCCGCCTTCCGTTCTGATTCAGCACCTCAAAAGCGAATGACTTTGGATGTTTACTTCTGCAAACCATAACAATGTTGCCTCGTCCAACCTCCGCAACCATGTGACAACGTTTCAGTAGAGCTAGAACCCTGCCATTCTAGAATGTTGAAGTTCCAAGCGGCAACATGTTGACATGCGTCCTTTGCGTGTTGCTTATTTTGTTATTTCATCAGTGCAGCACTGAATAAATCAATGTGTAAGAAACTGAGGGGCTGAGATTCCCAAATCAAGCAGGTTTGAGCCCCTGAATTTCTTAGCAGGGAGTCCTTCATCCACCAAAAAGGCCGCTAAGAAGTTGAGCCCCCGAGTTTCTTAGCAAAGTAGTTACTTCATCACTCGCGAGATTACAGCCTAGTAAATCAAATTACCCAAGAAATCCAGCCCCCTGGCTCCACAGAAGTAAAAACCAGCCCCATTATCACAGTATATCTGCTTATGTTTGTTCCCCATGACCTGCTTGGCCCACGTGTTTTTCAAGGACCCCACTGGACACCGTGAACAATACACGCGCGCGCTCGACGAGGCGCCTGCGCGGCCGCGGGACACTCCTCTGTGACCTCCTTGGGCATCGCCAGCTCCGCCAGGCGCGCCTCGCTCAAAATCGGCAAGATGTGCGGGGAATCCCCGCAGAAATGGCTATGAGCAGGGAACCTACCCATGAAAAAACCCAACCCCTTGGGTGGTTCGTCTTTTTTTGTGTGTATGTTTTTGGATGGTTTTGAAAAGCAAGCCAGCCACCCACTTGAAGTTCATGGGCAGAGGGCAGGTCTGAGTGCCCGGCCAGGTTGCTGCGCCGTTTCTGCCCTGACGCCAAGGGCGCCAAACCCATTTGGGGTGTGATTTTTGTTGGGGTGGTTTGCAAAGGGGGACAAAAGGAAAACGGAACCATTGTTGGAGGGCCACGTTTTTTTTGACACACGTCTGGGTGTGGCTGAAAATTGGGTAACCCCGAAATGGTTGGTTTCGCTTTGGTGTCCCTTTAAACCAACCCCCAAAAAGGGGTAACCTTCGAGTCTTTGTTGCCGGAAGTCACAACCCAAGCGGAAAACTGGAAGACTTGACATGAACGTCTCTCTTGCGGCGAGACGATTGCCGCATCCAATTTCGCACCCCCGGTCTTCTTTGCTGCATCTTGAGAAAGCAACCCTCTTGAAGCGAGAATTTGCAAACCCACATGGACATGCCCCAAATTTAGTGGATATCATTGGCTTATACCCTAAAAACATCCCTGGGGTTCAGATTGTGCAGATGTTTTGGAACATGCATTTGGGGATGGAGTTCGCGGTGGGCGCCCTGACCCCTCAAGGTTGCCTTCCTGTTGGCTGCCCCTGAAAGCCATGCTAGAAGGGTTCAATTTGACAAATACCTAGTTGAGCGTGTCTTCAAATAGGGAACCATTCCCCCAAGAAAGTTGTCCAGTTGGTTTCTCTTTAAACGGCCCCCCTCAAAAAGGATACCTTCAAACACACACACACACACACAGACACACACACACACACACAGTTCTCGTTTTGAGGAGATGGCTGTTCTCACTACATCAGATGGCTCGGTGCGGCGTGCTTTCTACGCTGTTATCTGCATCAAAGCGTTTCCTTTGACTGCGCGCTGGTGGCGGTCGCGCTGTCTTTGCGATAAGCTCCAGTCTCCCTAGCATGTCGTGAGTCAGTTGGCACGCTATATTCACCAATGCGTATTGGAGCTCATAGGAATATGTTCTGTGAATTTGGATTTGCTCAGTTTACAGACTTTGACAACGCGGTCCTGCAAGTGGACATCTTCAAGTCATTGCTTTGATTGTGCTGTGAAGTGGTCGGTGCGACATCTGTGCATTGGGTTGGTTTACGTCTCCTGTTGTTGTTACAGGTTTGTTGCTATCTGCGTTTGCTCAGTTTGGTGCGTTGTCTGAGTGGATTCACAGGTGCTTTGTGACAGGTGCTGACGTGGCACTTACTTCTCTTCACCTAGCGGTAGGTGGGTTGTCTTCGTCGACTCTGGTCTGACTATGCTGAGAGCCAGTTGGATTGCCAGCTTGATCAGTGGCTGCCGGTGCTTCCATTGGCATACAACAGGTCTGTCTTTTGGTTTCCGTGCTGCAGCGGTGGACACGGTCTCAAGTCTAACATGGCAATAGATGTTAGGTTCAGGTCTAGCTGGCACACCACGTTAATGTCTGCTATCAATATCGGTATGGGTCAAAATTAACCCGGATATGGACCGCATGTTTTAGATTTGGTTCCATTTACCAGGGTTCCATGTTGGGTACCTATTTTTGACCCACAGTCATATATTGTCTGCCTATGGTGTTTCTGTATTTGTGTGTTGCAAGCTTTATCGTTTGTGGTTCGGCATGCCTGCCATGCAGCTCCTGGAATTTGCAAAAGCCTGTACTCATTCAAGCCTTGCCATCAACAAAGAACTTGCGAAGACGTTAAACAACAAGCTTAGTGAGTGAAACGTATGCCTCGGAAGGCAATCGTACTGAGTCGCTGACAATTACGTTGACTGGTATTCAATTAAACTACCATTGGGGCGCGCCGGGCTCGTTGCTCCGAATTGGAAGCTCTGAAGGGATTTCAACCCCACTTCGCCTCACCGCGCGACCAAACCGCGCCTTCGCGTTCCTCGGGCCTCTCCGGCGGCTTCTCCGGCGGGCTCGGCGCCGGGCTCGGCGCCGGGCTCGGCGCCGGCGCCGGCGCCGGGCTGGAGGCCTGCGACAGCCCAAGTCTGAGGCGCGATGCGAGGCTTGGGGCGGTCCTCAAAGGAAGGGCCGCTTAAAGGGATGGGCCGATTGAAAGAGAAAGGGGCCCTCTGCGTGGCTCTTCTGTTTCTTGGTGCGGGTTTCTTCCTTTGGAAGTTTTTCCTCGGTTCCCCTAAAGGGTCTGCCTACATAGATACCTTAAAGCTAGATGCAGGACAGATTTATACAGGCTTGGAAGAAGAGGTGCTCAGTTGAAGATTTCATGATTCTCAAAAAGCTTCTCGCGCTTCATCAGTATGTCTAATCATCATCAGGCAAGACTTAAAGCACTTCATGTAGACTCCTTTGTTGAGCAAAAGAATCCATCGCGCACTGCTTCCAAGCAGGAATCACAAACATGCGTGCGAAGCAAAGCAGAATGGTGTCACTCACTCACTCACTCACTCACTCACTCACTCACTCACTCACTCACTCACTCACTCACTCACTCACTCACTCACTCACTCACTCACTCACTCACTCACTCACTCACTCACATACATCATCACTCACTCACTCACTCACTCACTCACTCACTCACTCACTCACTCACTCACTCACTCACTCACTCACTCACTCACTCACTCACTCACGCACGCACTCACGCACTCACGCACTCACGCACTCACGCACTCACGCACTCACGCACTCACGCACTCACGCACTCACGCACTCACGCACTCACGCACTCATGAACTCACGCACTCACGCACTCACGCAGTCACTCACTCACTCACTCACTCACTCACCCACTCACTGACTCACTCACTCACTCCCTCCCTCACTCACTCACTCACTCCCTCACTCCCTCACTCCCTCACTCCCTCACTCCCTCACTCCCTCACGCCCTCACTCCCTCACTCCCTCACTCCCTCACTCCCTCACTCCCTGACTCCCTCACTCCCTCACTCCCTCACTCCCTCACTCCCTCACTCCCTCACTCCCACACTCCCTCACTCCCTCACTCCCTCACTCCCTCACTCCCTCACTCCCTCACTCCCTCGCTCCCTCACTCCCTCTGAGTGAGTGAGTGAGTGGAGTGAGTGGAGTGAGTGGAGTGAGTGGAGTGAGTGGAGTGAGTGGAGTGAGTGGAGTGAGTGGAGTGAGTGGAGTGAGTGGAGTGAGTGGAGTGAGTGGAGTGAGTGGAGTGAGTGGAGTGAGTGGAGTGAGTGGAGAGAGTGGAGTGAGTGGAGAGAGTGGAGAGAGTGGAGAGAGTGGAGTGAGTGGAGTGAGTGGAGTGAGTGGAGTGAGTGGAGTGAGTGGAGTGAGTGGAGTGAGTGGAGTGAGTGGAGTGGGTGGAGTGCGTGGAGTGAGTGGAGTGAGTGGAGTGAGTAGAGTGAGTGGAGTGGAGTGAGTGGAGTGAGTGGAGTGAGTGGAGTGAGTGGAGTGAGTGGAGTGAGTGGAGCGGGTGGAGCGGGTGGAGCGGGTGGAGCGGGTGGAGCGAGTGGAGCGAGTGGAGCGAGTGGAGCGAGTGGAGTGAGTGGAGTGAGTGGAGTGAGTGGAGTGAGTGGGTGAGTGGGTGAGTGGGTGAGTGGGTGAGTGGGTGAGTGGGTGAGTGGGTGAGTGGGTGAGTGAGTGAGTGAGTGAGTGAGTGAGTGAGTGAGTGAATGAGTGAATGAGTGAATGAGTGAATGAGTGAATGAGTGAAAGAGTGAGTGAATGAGTGAATGGAATGAGTGAGTGAGTGAGTGAATGACTGAATGAATGAATGAATGAATGAATGAATGAATGAATGAATGAATGAATGAATGAATGAATGAATGAATGAATGACATGAATGAATGAATGAATGAATGAATGAATGAATGAATGAATGAATGAATGAATGAATGAATGAATGAATGAATGAATGACTGAGTGAGTGAATGAATGAATGAATGAATGAATCAATGAGTGAGTGAATGAATGAGTGAATGAATGAATGAATGAATGAATGAATGAATGAATGAATGAATGAATGAATGAATGAATGAATGAATGAATGAATGAATGAATCAGTGAGTGAGTGAGTGAATGAATGAATGAATGAATGAATGAATGAATGAAGGAAGGAAGGAATGAATGAATGAGTGAGTGAGTGAGTGAATGAATGAACAAATGAACGGATAAACCAATACAAAGCATGCATGCAACCATGTGTGTGTGTGTATGTGTGCGTCTGTAAAGTGTAATATGTGTTCTCCTGCACCAACGTGCGCATGTGCGTGTATACGTGTGCTGTATGCATGCACGTATGTATGTATTTAGATAGGTAGGTAGGTATGCATGCATGCATGCGAGCATGTATGTAATGTAATGTAATGTAATGTAATGTAATGTAATCTAATCTAATGTAATTCATAATGTAATGTAATGAAATGTAATGTATGTATGTGTGGACGTGTGTGTGTGTGTGCGTGCATCTATCTATCTATCTGTCAATCGATCGATCTATCTATGTATGTATGTGTTTATGTATGTATGAATGTATGTAGGTGTGTGTGCATTTGTATGTGCATGTGTGTGTACGTGTGTATCTGTGTTGAGAGTGCCATCTAATAGCGAAGGAAAGAAAGCATTCGAATAACCAAAAGAAAGCACATAATGGCGAAGGAGAGGGGGCCCTAATAACGAATATCAAGAGACATGCAACAGCAAGGCTGCATGGACAGCCACCAGTCAAAGACATTTTCCTTGCAAACGCTGGACTCTGCTGCTGCTGCATCGCGCGAATTTCAGCACTGCCACAGCCGCTTGGCACAACCCGAGAACTCTCTTCAGGCCCAAATAAAAGACGGACGGCCCAACCATGGTTCCAAGGGCCGGGTGAAAACCTTTGACTTGACCATTAAATATTGCTTTTCCATGCTTGTAGTGAACAACGCGCAGTGATCTGACCAGAACATGCGTGATTGCTTCAAGGAAAGCTTCCAAGGTGCTTCTGGGCAATCTGCCACAGGCTCCAATATGCGTTCACGGGCCCAAAGCTACCGCAGCTCCGCGCAGCTTTTTGTTGCAAGCTGCAAGCGCATGGATTGCGCAATTGCAGCATCCACCGCGCGCGGTATGCCCTGCCGCATGATGTAGAGCACACCTTCTCTCTTGGGCCGGTGGATGCCCAATTCGTCGAAATCCTTCAGAATGAAGTGGATGCTTGGGAGAACAACAGTGCCATGCCCTGGCTCCCAAACGTGAAACAAAGTTCTTTCGCCAATCATCCACGCGTCTGGGCCCAAAGGCGTTACGCTGAGCTCGTCACCCAGCAAGCTGTATGCCTTCTCCTCGTTGTGGATGTTTGGCGTTGCCAAAAATTGGACGCTGTCTTCAATGGCCAAGACGGTCTGTGTCAAGGTTTTCCCGCGCTGGTTGCCGATGGTCCGCTTGAGGTGTCTATGGGATTGTTCCGGTTGTTGCTGCAACGCCCCGTGCCCCTCTGCGACAGGGGGCTTGCGCGCCCGCCCACCAGCGCGCAGAAATCATCGTGGCCTCGATGGATCGGCCCGAACCTCGTGAAGGTACCTTGGCTCAGGCGCAGTCATGCGCTCTGGCTGGCCATTAAAACAAGCGAAGCCTGGCTGGACACTGTCTCAAGCACGCCCACAAACACAATATAGACCACCAAGACAACCAAGACGAGCCCGTTGCCAAGGCTTTTTTAAGGCGCTCCAGCCCGTCTCTTGCCAGACCAGCGCTGCGCGTGCCGAGAACACGGTGAGGCCGATGTGCAGCTTGACGTACTTCAGCGTTTTGCTCTGTAGCCGGCTCTCCGCCTTCCTCCATCACCACCCGTTGCTTCCTGAAATTGGCAAACATGTGCTCCACGTCACAGACTGCGCGCGCCTCCTGCAGCTCCTCGCGCACAACACGAGGCAGGCCAGGAAAGTAGTCGCAGTGCACTTGGCGCAACGGCGGCAACTTCAGCCTGGCCAGCTCTTCCTTGCCGGCCCGAAAGGCCAGCCGGTAGCACTGAAAGCGTTCTTTGGTGCGCCGTAAAAGAAGCACCGGCCATCTGCTCTGTCTCCAATAGCCTTGCAGCTTGCGGTACGCAGGTATGATGAGCACTGTGTAAACCCATTGGTCCACTTCCACTTTGAATGTTGCATCAGCCGCTAAGCAGAACTGCTCAGCCTTCAAAGTGCCAGCTTCGTGCATCTTCCGCAGCTCCTGGAAGAAGGCTGGCACGATGCCTACGAAAGATGCAACTGTCAGCTGGCGAGAGATGTCAATGAACGCCACCGTGCCACGCCACTGTCTCTGTCCTGCCTCTCTTCCACGTGCCGCTGCCACTCTTCACTCCACGTGGTCACTCGTCCTGTCCGCCTGCCACTCTTGCCGCCCAGCCGGCGGCGAACCGCACCCCGAAACCTCACGCCGGCATTTGTAGCGGCAGCCAATCGGCGCGCAACCTGCGTTGCACTCACCTCCGCCTGCTCTGCCTGAAGGGCGGCTATAGTGTTGTCCACCGCGACTCCTCGCTCCTAAAAAGCCCACTCAATGTGAAAACGCTTTCCCCGCTTTCCCCAAGGCTTTCCGTCAGGAAGCGTTGTTTTTCACAGGGTTCAGCTATAAGCCAGGCAATACGGAAATGTCCAGTCAAAGCCTTGCTGGCCAATTGGCCAAAAAGCAAAAACATCTGTAGCCAAATAGCGCGCATCTCCAGAGCAGGCCCCGCCCACTTCAACGCGCAAAGAGATGCCCTCGCCTGTTCGGGCGCTGTGAAAAACGAAAATGTCGGCCCCTTCCGAGCCAGCAGTCTGTGCAAAGCATGCAACGGCCAACTTGGGCTTCGCCCTGTCGCGCTGTGTAAGGGTTGCAGTATCGGCCCACCACCAGCTGGTGCAGTTTGTTATACTCGCCCCTTGCCTTTGCCAAGCACGCCTCCCCTCCGCAATTCAACTGCCCATGAAATTGCCATTCTCTCCGCGGGCGAGCTACCTTGTCAAGTTGAGCGGCCATGTCTTGAACATGGCTATGGCTAATACGAATATCACATGCATAAAAAAATCCGTCGCAAGGGCCAACCCCGTCACAAGGCACGCCGAAAACCCCGTCGCAAGGGCGTCGCAACGCACGCCGCAACGCCCGTCGCAAGGGCCAACCCCGTCACAAGGCAGTCAGAAAACCATGTTCCCAAGACCCCGTCGCGAGGCACGCCGAAAACCCCGTCGCAAGGGCCAGCCCCGTCACAAGGCACGCCGAAAGCCCCGTCGCAAGGGCCAACCCCGTCACAAGGCACGCCGAAAACCCCGTCGCAAGGGCCAACCCCGTCGCAAGGCACGCCGCAACGCCGTAAAACCCAATTTTTCCATGGAGCCAAAAGCACACAACTGCTGTCTCTGAGCCCAAACTACCCCCGAGTATCCGGCCTGGTCCTCCTCTCTCTCCTCTTCCCTCCTGCCTTTCGTTCCCACCTGGATCAACATGTGCAACCCCGTAAAACCCAGGTTTTCCATGGAGCCAACAGCACACAACTGCTGTCTCTGAGCCCAAACTATCCGGGAGTATCCGGCCTGGTCCTCCTCTCTCTCCTCTTCCTTCCCGCCTTTCATTCCCACCTGGATCAACATGTGCAACCCCGTAAGAGCCAGATTCTCCATGCAGCACAAAGCACACAACTGCTGTCTCTGAGCCCAAACTACCCCGGAGTATCCGGCCTGGTCCTCCTCTCTCTCCTCTTCCTTCCTGCCGTTCATTCCCACCTGGATCAACATACAACCCCACAATATCAGGGTTTTCCATGGAGCAAAGTCACACAACTAGCCTGCCTCTATTGTGCCATCAGGGCTGCTATTGATCTGCAAAGCTCGTGCCTGGCAAAACAAACATGCCACTCCAAATGTCGAATCCCAGTGAAATCTGGCAGAAATTAAGGGCCGGGCATCTTGATGTAACAGTTGGCTGAGGCCTTCCTCGCAAAACAAAAACAATCCGGTTCAATTTGATTCAACAGGATATCTGGCTTCATGTAAGGAATGGGCATCTGCATCAGAAATCAGGAACGGGGCGTCCTCGCCACAACATGCTTGCCGGACACAAAACACAAAACCACAAACAAAACACAGGGTCCTCCAGGTGGATCAGGTCCGCCATGGAGGGCGGATGCTGCTGTTGAGCCAGCTGTGGTGGACAATAGGCCCTGTTATTCGCTAGTTATTCGCTATTCGACACCTGTATTCGCTATTAGACACCTGTATTCGCTATTAGACACTTATATTCGCTAGTAGGTCAACCACTCTATCTGTGTGTATGTATGTGTGTAGGCATGCATGTATGTAGGTATGTGCGTCTGCGCATGTATGTGTCTGTATGTATATGCATGTGTATCTATGTGTGTGTGTGCCTCTGTATATGTGAAGGACTGTTCGTATATGCTACAGACGTATGTGCGTATGTGTGCGTATGTGTTGTGTGTATGTATATGCTATTCTGTGCGTATGCATGTAAGTATGCGTGTGTGTGTGTGTAAGTGTGTGTGTGTGTGTGTGCGCGCGTGCGCGCGTGCGCGCGTGCGCGCGTGCGCGCGTGAGCGCGTGCGCGCGTGCGCGCGTGCGCGCGTGCGCACGTGCGCACGTGCGCACGTGCGCACGTGCGCGCGTGCGCGTGCGCGTGCGCGTGCGCGTGCGCGCGCGCGACGGAAATTCGTCGCCCTGCACCTTGTGCACCGTAGTGCAATAGCCCAGCCGGACCGGGAAGTAGCAAAGCCGGACCGGGAAGTAGCAAACGCCCCTTCCCCCGGTGCGCGTGCGCGTGCGCTCGCGCTCGCGCGCTCGCGCGCTCGCTCGCTCGCGGCTCGCGCTCGGCTGGCCGGGGGTGCGCTGGCGCTGGCGCTGGCGCTGGCGCTGCTGCGCTGGCGCGGCGCTGGCGCTGGCGCTGGCGCGGGCGTGGGCAGGCGCTGGCGCTGGCGCGCGGCGAGCGCTGGCGCTGGCGCTGGCGCTGGCGCGCTGCTGCGCGTGCGGCGTGTGCGTTGCGGGATGCGTGCGTGCGTGCGTGCGTGCGTGCGTGCGTGCGCGTGCGTGCGTGCGTGCGTGCGTGCGTGCGTGCGTGCGTGCGTGCGTGCGTGCGTGCGTGCGTTGCGTGCGTGCGTGCTGCGTGCGGCGTTTTAGCGCGCGCGCCGCGCGTGCGCGCGTGCGCGCGCGCGGCGCGGTGCGCCGTGGCGCGTGTGCGTCGCGCGTGGTGCGGTGCGTGTGCGTGTGCGCGCGGGTGGCGTCTGTGCGCTGTGCGCGTGTGCGGTGTGCGTGTGGTGGTGTGTGCGTGTGCGCGCGCGTGCGCGTGCGCGGTGCGTGCGCGTTGCGCTGCGCTGTGCGCGTGTGCGTGTGCGCGGCGTATGCGTGCGGTGGCGTGCGCGTGCGGCTTGTGGTGCGGGTTGCGTGGCGCGGTGGGCGAGTGCGGTGCGGGTGCGGGTGCGGGTTGCGGGGGTGCGGGTGCGGGTGCGGGTGCGGGTGCGGAGTGCGTGGGCGTGCGGTGGCGCGTCGCGCGTTGGCCTGCTGGGCGGGGCGGTGCGTTGCGGGGCGGGTGCGGGTGCGGTGCGGGTGCGGCGTGGCCGACGCGTCGTGGCGTGCAGCGCGAGCCGTGCGCGTGCGCCTGCGCCTGCGCCAGGCTGCGGGCGGGCGGGGGCGGGCGGCGGGCGGGTGCGGGCGGGCGCGGGCGGGGGCGGGCGCCGGGCGGGCGGGTGCGGGCCGGGCGGGCGGGCGGTGCGGGCGTGCGGGCGGGCGGGCGGGCGGGGCGGCGGGGCGGGCTGGCGGGCCGCGGGGCGCGTACGCGCGCTGAGCGTTGCGGGCGGTGCGTGCGTGCGCGGCGTGCGTGCGACGTGCGTGCGCTGCGGCTGCGCGTGGTGCGTGCGTGCGTGCGTGCGTGCGTGCGTGCGTTGCGTGTGCCCTGCCCGTGCGCGTGCGTGCGTGCGGCGTGCGTGCGTGCGCTGCGCGCGTGCGCGCGGTTGCGCGGCGTGCTGGCGGGCGTGCGCGGCGCGCGGGCGGCGCGCGCGCGCGGGCGGGCGGCGGCGGGCCGCGGGCCGTGCCCGCGGCGGGCCTGGCGCGCGGGCGTGCGTGCGTGCGTGCGTGCGTGCGTGCGTGCGTGGGTGGGGGTGGTGGGGGTGGGTGGGTGGGTGTGTGTGTGTGTGTGTTTATGTATGCATGTGTGTATATGCATGTGTATATACTGGTATGTAAGTGTGTGTGTGTGTGTTTGTGTGTCTGTATGTGTGTAGATGTGTAGGTGTGTATGTGCATGTGTGTGTGTAAGTGTGGGTGTGTATGTTGTGCCTGACTTTATGGGTTCAATGCAATCTAATCTCATGTGTTGCGATGTGATCTAATATCATGCAAAGTAATGTACTGCAATTGTAATGCAATGCAATGTGATGTAATCTTATGCTGTGCAATCAAATTAAAGACATGTTGATGCAATGCATTGCAGGCAACGAGCTGAAGTGAAGTGCAATGCAATGTATGTCTGCATGCATGCATTCATGTACGCGCATGTATGCACGTGCGTATCTCTCAGTGCATGCATGCATGCAACCATGATTGGAGTCAGACCCGGTTGCAAGCTCAGAATATATAATTCGCCTCATTTCGAGCCTGGACAAAATGCGAAACAATTCGTACCCTGCGGCACACCAGACACACACGCCACACACACACACACACATGGGGGTGCCTTAAAACGGGGGACCCCCAAATGGCTGGAGTCCTTTTGGTTGCGCTTTTGAACCACCCCAACTTCATTCCAACTCCACTCCCATTCCACTCCCACTCCACTCCCACTCTACTCCCACTCTACTCTCACCCCCACCCGAACAGGGTGGCATCAAAAGACTGACCCGACTCTCGAGTCACCTCTTCGTCTTCCAAGACGAGCTTTCCGGAGCCTGCACCGGAGAAAAACACGTCCGGGATGTGGAGAAAATCCTGATTCCCACCCAGGTAGCTGGACCAAAACAAGAAGAAACTGCCGGTTTGTTTGGTTTGCCCATCTGTCATCCATCCTGGTACATGGACTTTGTCCGTAAACTCGGCAGTGGATCCAAGTGAGGGCATTTTTGTCAGTGTTTCCTCGAACCAGCAAGGTCTGGGTGCGCCTGCAGGGCAAAAACAAATATGAATATATATATATATACATATATATGTATGCAGGCTCCTGTAAACGGATATTTGCATCACTCAGTAAAATGGTCACACGTGGGTGTGTCTTTTTGGTAAAGGGGGGCCCCAAGAAACCACCAGAAAGGGGTAGCCTCCAAGAAACGGTCCAATCAAAACCAACTCAATCCAGAAACGGACTCGGCCAGGCCGGATTGGCCGGGTTAAACACAGCGGCCAGTCCGGAGGGGTGCCACTCTATAGAGTCCAACTTGAGTTTCTGGAGCTGAGGTGTGATGTTGAATATGCTGTCACGCCTATCCTTTAGACATCTAGCTAGTTGATCCCACTCGCCCTGGAAAAATATCCACTCGCCCTGGAATATCATGCCCTCCCCCCCCACCACCACCACCATTGCGGCACAGCAAATGGTCTTCGCCAATGAAATATCAGCTTGTCTTGGCCAGATCTCCGTAACAGCCGCAGATCTCGCGCAGATCTCGCTCCCAGCGCATGACGCTATGTAGAGCGGAGATGATGGTTCTGGCCTCGCCAAGTCTCACTACAAACAGGGCGGCTCGCTTTGTGAGGACGAAGCACCAAGGAGTTGCTGGCACGTTTCAAAACCACCTGTGAACCAAGAGGGGCAAAGGAGGAAGAAGAGCCATTGTTTGCGGCAAAAGCGCCACTCATTGTCCAGCCGAATGGGAGAAACGACCACGTGTGCTCAAAGCTGCAACTGCAAGAGGCCTTCGCAGCCGCTTCTGGCATCTCTGGCTGCGGACCGGGAAATTCTCGCGCGATTGTCCCAGTCACCTTGAGGAAGCAGAGGAAATGCTGGCGCGAATGAAACTTCGATGACAGGCCTTCAGCTGCACACATGGGGAAGAAGGGATCAGCATGAAGTGTAAGCGAGCAACATCCACTCCCGTCTAAAAAAGCACAACGCAAAGGGAGTATGTTCAAGCCACGACTATCATGAGCGGCCGCTCTGGAGAGCCTTGGCTTAAGCTATGCTCAGATTGGCATCTCATCGGATTCTGCAAGCCACGTTGACTGACTGATCTGCCTGCAAGCTCTGAGCACGCGGGGCCTGAGCTCTGAAGATTCGAAAGCCTGGCACAACACTTGCAACATTTGAAGTGCTCAAACAAGCACCAGGCAAGATTGATGCAGTGCAACTGGGGGCTGTTCAATAAAGGGACTTTCGAGCAGCTTAGTTGCTTCGCGAAGGGTAGTTGCTCAGGTTAGTGTCTGGACCTGGTTAATTGTTGTAAGGGCTTTGGTCTGGGCTCTAAGCAAGAAACAAAAAGAAGGCAGGAGAGTATTCGCAGTGCAGAGAACTGTTGCTTTTTTGAACGTCGAGTTACAAAGCCAAAGCCAGCTTGAAGTTCAAGGATCAGAACCAGGCATCTTTGATCTTTGGGCGCATTCTGAAAGCTTTGCAAACGCTGTGCCATTTCCTCGGCTAGACCGGGCCAACCCTTCAGCTAAGCGCCAGCAGATCCACTCCTGGATTTGTCATTGCACCAGACAAATGGTTGGTATATATATATATATATATATCCGCTGTTAGCCCAGCCGCTGTGCAAGCAGCTTTTGAACCAATTGATACGTGCTTATTCTCCAATTCGCACTTCCCCCACCCTGACTCGATTTGGAACGAAGAGCTGAAGTTGAACAAGCGCAGCTTTGTAGACACCTGACTTGCAATCGGTCTTCCTGCCCTTGCAACCTAGTTACCAAACCTTGGATCTGCTCCAATATGTTCAACAGTCTACAAACCACTGGTAGACTTGACGGGTCCCCTTGAACAACCGCCCTATGGCCTGCTATTGAGAGATACACCTGAGCGGAACCGGATCGTTTTCACCACTTCGTCCCGCCGCGCCTGCAAAGTTTGTGACACTTGCCTTGAGGACCTTCTTCTCCTATCCAGAGGCGACTCAAAATTCGCAAAAGTTCTGACTCACCAAGGGTCAGAAAAATTCAATGTCATGTTCGAAACATGTTGGAGATTGTATTTACCCTTTTTCCCCTTGGTCGGGTCCAATGCGTATCTCAAAGAGCTTTCGTTGGCGAAGGTAGCCAAAAGCAGCATCCTGTGGCCCCGAAAAACACTGGGGCGCTCAGAACCCATTGATGCTTGCTAGAAAAGCGGCATGGGTGTGGTTGTCAACATTGAACGGGGACCGAAAGGTTTTCGTCCATATTTCCATTTACCAGGGTTCCATTTTGGGTACCTATTTTTGACCCACAGCCACATGGTTATGAAGGTGTGCATAGGCCTTACTGTGCCCACAAGACCAGGTAGAACAACCATCTGCTGAAGATGGCTACTGGGAATCACTGATCGGTCGCTGCTCAGCCCGCTCCTTTCGAAAGAACTCGGCGGCGGTCCTCACGAAGACTCGCTTGCCTCGCGAAAAGGCGCGCACGCGCGAAGGCGCGCCGTTGGGACTTTTTGGGGTACCATTTTTGGGTGGGTTGACAGGGAAATTGGAGGACAATGACTGAAGGAAATATGTCAAGCGACATATTTCTGTTGTTCAGCTTGCCTTGTTTGAACTCTGGCAAGCAGGGGCAGTCTCCCTTGCACGCGAACATGCTTGCCTGCTCCCCTTGCACCTTGGAAGTTCGGGCTAATGCCATGTAGTGCCATTTGCTTTGAACTCTGGGCCCAGTCTTGATGTGCTGATCATTTGTGGCCTACAATGTCCACAAAGAGCAACGCTGTGGGGCGCAAGTCAATTCACCCAATGCGAGCTGATCTCGCCAACCTCACATAACACCGCGGCCAGTTGCCCTCTTTTTGGAGGGGTCCCCCTCAAAATATGCTACCCACAAAACGAAGAAAGTGCGGCCTCTTTTTACATGTGCGGCTTTCGTTGCAGGGCAAACCCAACATCCAAAGCATTGAGAGCTCCAGAGCCGATAAATCCCAGCTGAATGCGCTCTGACTTGGGGCATCCGTACATCCAGCCAAAAAAAATCCCCACACCTCCGCCCCCGCCCCCGCCCCCCCCCCCCCCCAAACCGCTTGGGCGCGTGCGAACCCCGGGCTCGCCTGGAAGGATCTGCAACTAAGGCTCTCACAGACTCGCTCCGGTGCGGCTTCGATCATGTTCTCCTCACGGGCGGCTGGTGTTTCGAGGTTAGGCGATGTCAAGAAACTCGGGGGCAAGGCACTAGAAACAAATGGCCATGGGTCAAAATCCGAAATCGTACCCCCAGTGAACATTTTAATCCAACCACAAAAATAGGTTCTAACATGGGTGGTGAATTCACCAATCCCAACCGAAACGGGATCCCATTGCTTTGACCCACGGCCAAATGTCTCCCCTCCGGGTTCAGGGAGTCAACTGACCCTGTGGATCAGTTCCATGGGAGGCTAGCGGTCGGCACCTTCTCCCATCCGCCCTTGTTTCCACACCGAAGACCAAAGGCATGGCCGTGTTTCAAGTTACGGCTGTTTCGCCAGCCACATCCAAGCGGGCCATGGAGCCGCCGAGGTTTCCGACATCCCCATGAATGACTGTAAGTCAATAGGGCAGTGGAATCCACCCCAAACATTTGAATCTCAACGAAGTCTACGTGATTCAACCGTATGGAAGTCACCCGTCCGTGATAGGGAAATCACACCGTCCGAGTTGACCCCTGGAAGCGGACATGTTTTTGTGTTCTGGACAAATAGATGACACTGGTTGATCAGAAAACTGAAAGCGCCATCTACTGCGCCCCGCAAACTGCCCTGAAAAGGTCAAGGCGACTGTGAAAAGGGCACCTAATGGCGCGAGAATGACCTTCCCAAAGTGTTTCGCTGGACTCGACGTTCAGCCCCCTCCTGCATCAGCTGTCTGCAGTGCGCCTAGGGAGCAGCTAGGGAAATTTGGGTGAGCCCCATGTCCTCCCAAAACTGCCAATAGACCACCAAACGGAAAAGCATGCACGCAGATGCTCAGTGGCCATGGGAAAAAAAGGCATCCTTCTTTTGCTGTTTGACCCTTCCCAAAAGCAAGGACTAAAGGGCGCCACTGGGCAACTGGGTGCTTTAAGCTTTAAGCTGGCCGAAGAACTTCGAAGAGCCCGTCGAGTCTGGAAGCTCTCGCTCGAAAAAAATATGTCTCTGCGCTACACCCGAACCCCTTCTTAGCCGGCATGCAGCTTTTCCGCTGGCAGATGAAAGACACGCAGGGGCGTGAGGTTTGAGTGACCCTCAAAGTTGGAGGGTTTGCTTGGCATTGCGACCTGGACAAAGGAGCACTTCCGCGAGCGAGCCGGTGAAAAACATGGGTAGTTTTGAGCTTGCCTACTTTTGAGCTTGTCTATGGGCTGATGACTATCCCTTGCAAACCCCCAAGTAATCAAACTGGCAGTTTGACTCCAACCCCAGGCAACAGAGAGCGCCTTCAGGACAGACAGCAAGCCCGGGCATGCACTAAACACAAGCCTGAAAATCTTCATTCCTACTGTGGATGGGTGAAACCCATTTCGCAACCATCCACATTAGTTCAATTTTGTCTCGGGTTGACAAAGAGGTGGAGTGACATTCTCACCTGGGGGCAGGCCTCCAGCGCGGATCTGGCCGTACGGACTTTCGGGGAGATCCGTTCTCCAGCCATGTCATGAGTGGAGATAGGCTCCACTATGAGATACAGATATACATGTCATGGCAGGCACTAAATGGAAAAAAGGATGGATGGAGGATGGATGGATGGATGGATGGATGGATGGATGGATGGATGGATGGATGGATGGATGGATGGATGGATGGATGGATACACATGGTGTTGTTTTCATGTGTATATATTTAAATATTTGGTATTGATCGACAAACGTAATATCTATATCCGCCGACAACAGACGGCGTGTTGGACACAAAAAATGCTCCTTACCTCTTTACCTGTTACCCCTCCCCTAACCCCTCCCCAGGGGCGTCCACGTACCACGCGGTGATTCGAAGACGCTTCACTTTCACATTGGGGTGTTCGATTCCCCCCGGGTGCGCTTTCGCATCCTTAGCAGCTCCAGCGACACATCGCCAGCATCACCTGCATCATCCGCATCAGCGCCTGCCAAGGATGCGGATGATGCAAGTGATGCTGGGGATGCTGCCCATGCTGGTGAAGGAAATGAAGGGGAACAGCGAAAGGGGGGGAAAGATCTCAGGGAGGAAAGGGAGAAGATCTGGGGAAAAAATGCCTTAAGGGGGAAAGGGGGGAAAAGATCTTTGGGAGGAAAAGGGAAATCTTTCTCGGGGGGAACATTTTCCCCCGGTTGAGATCCTTTCCCCCTTTCCCCTCGAGATCTTCTCCCTTTGCCTCCCTAGTATCTTTTCTCCCTGTCCCTGTTGAGATCCTTTCCCCCCCTTTCCCCCCGAAGGCCCTTTCAGATCTTCTCCCTTTTCCTCCCTAAGATCATTTGCCCCCGTTCCGTGTTGAGATCCTTTCCCCCTTTCCCCCCCTAAGGCCTTTCCCCCCCTGAGATCTTAAGGCCGTTTCCCCCCCTGAGATCTTCTCGCTTTTCGATCCTTTCCCCCCCTTTCCCCCCAAAGGCCTTTCCCCCCCCCCTGAGTTCATATCCCTTTTCCTCCTTTTTCCTCCCTAAGATGTTTTCCCGCCATTCCCTGTTGAGATCCTTTCCCCCCTTTCCCCCTAAGGCCTTTTCCCCCCTGAGATCTTCTCCCTTTTCCTCCCTAAGAGCTTTTCCCACCTTTCTTTATTGAGATCCTTTCCCCCCTGTCCCCCCTAAGGCCTTTTCGCACCCTGAGTTCGTCTCCCTTTGCCTCCCTAAGATCTTTTCCCCCCTTTCCCGCTTAAGATGCTTTCCCCCGTTTCCCCCCAAGATCTCCACCCTTCTCTTCCCAAAGTCTTTTTCCCCCTTTCCCGTTTGAGATCCTGTCCCCCCATTGCCCCGTAGGGCCGGGAGAAGATCTTGGGGGGAAAAGGCCTTAGGGGGGAAAGGGGGGGAAAGGATCTCAACAAGGAAAGTGGGGAGAAAAAAAGGCCTTAGGGGGGAAAGGGGGGAAAGGCTCTCAACAGGGAAAGGTGGCAAAAGATCTTAGGGGAGGAAAAGGGAGAAGATAGATCTTTGGGAGGAAAAGGGAGAAGAACTGAGGGTGGGAAAAGGCCTTAGAAGGAAAAGGGGGGAAATAAATGATCTCAACAGGGAATGGGGGGGGGAAAGATCTTGGGGAGGAAAGGCAGAAGATCTGGGGCAAAAAGGCCTCAGGGGGGAAAGGGGAGAAATGATCTCAACAGGGAAAGGGGTGGAAAAGATCTTAGGGAGGAAAGGGAGAGGATCTGGTGAAAAAAGGCCAACAGGGAAAGGGGGGAAAAGATCTTAGGAAGGAAAAGGGAGAAGCTCTCAGGGGGGGAAAGGCCTTGGGAGGGAAAGGGAAAAAAGATCTCAACAGGGAAAGGGTGGGAAAGATCTTAGGGAGGAAAGGGGGGGGAAGATCTTACGGAGCAACAGGGAAAGGTGGCAAAAGATCTTAGGGAGGAAAAGGGAGAAGATCTCAGGGGGGGAAAGGCCTTAGGGGGGAAAGGGGGGAAAGGATCTGAGCAGGGAAAGGAAGGGAAAGATCTTAGGGAGGAAAGGGAGAAGATCTGGGGACAAAGGCCTTAGGGGGGAAAGGGGAGAAATGATCTCAACAGGGAAAGGGGTGGAAAAGATCTTAGGGAGGAAAGGGAGAAGATCTGCGGGAAAAAAGGCCAACAGGGAAAGGGGGGAAAGATCTAAGGAAGGAAAAGGCAGAAGCTCTCAGGGGGGGGAAAGGCCTTAGGCGGGAAAGGGTGGGAAGGATCTCAACAGGGAAAGGGGGGAAACAATCTTAGGAAGGAAAAGGGAGAAGATCTGGAAAGGCCTTAAAGGGAAGGGAGGAAAGGCTCTCAACAGGGAAAGGTGGCAAAAGATCTTAGGGGAGGAAAAGGGAGAAGATAGATCTTTGGGAGGAAAAGGGAGAAGAACTGAGGGTGGGAAAAGGCCTTAGAAGGAAAAGGGGGGAAATAAATGATCTCAACAGGGAATGGGGGGGGAAAGATCTTGGGGAGGAAAGGCAGAAGATCTGGGGCAAAAAGGCCTCAGAAAGGAAAGGGGAGAAATGATCTCAACAGGGAAAGGGGTGGAAAAGATCTTAGGGAGGAAAGGGAGAGGATCTGGGGAAAAAAGGCCAACAGGGAAAGGGGGGAAAAGATCTTAGGAAGGAAAAGGGAGAAGCTCTCAGGGGGGGAAAGGCCTTGGGAGGGAAAGGGAAAAAAGATCGCAGCAGGGAAAGGGTGGGAAAGATCTTAGGGAGGAAAGGGGGGGGAAGATCTTACGGAGCAACAGGGAAAGGGGGGAAAAGATCTTAGGAATGAAAAGGGAGAAGCTCTCAGATGGGGGAAAGGCCTTAGGGGGGACAAGGGGGAAAAGGATCGCAGCAGGAAGGCCTTAGGGGGGAAAGGGGAGAAATGATCTCAACAGGGAAAGGGGTGGAAAAGATCTTAGGGAGGAAAGGGAGAAGATCTGCGGGGAAAAAATGCCAACACGGAAAGGGGGGAAAGATCTAAGGAAGGAAAAGGGAGAAGCTCTCAGGGGGGGAAAGGCCTTAGGCGGGAAAGGGTGGGAAGGATCTCAACAGGGAAAGGGGGGAAACAATCTTAGGAAGGAAAAGGGAGAAGATCTGGAAAGGCCTTAAAGGGAAGGGGGGAAAGGATCTCAACGGGGAAAGGGGGCAAAGGATCTTAAGGAGGAATAGGGAGAAGATCTCAGCGGGGGGAAAGGCCTTAGGAAGGAAAGGAGGGAAAGGATCTCAACAGGGAAAGGGGGGGAAAGATCTCAGTGAGGAAAGGGAAAAGCTCCCAGGCAGGGAAAAGGCCTTAGGGGGGAAAGGGGGAAAGGATCTCAACAGGGAAAGGGGGCAAAGGATCTTAGGGAGGAAAAGGGAGAAGATCTGAAAAGGCCTTAGGGGGAAAAGGGGGAAAGGAGCTCAACAGGGAAAGGTGGGAGAAGATCCTAGGGAGGAAAAGGGAGAAGATCTCGAGGGAAAGGGGGAAAGGATCTCAACCAAGGGAAAAGATCTTGGGGAGGACAAGGGAGAAGATCTCAGGGGGGGAAAGGCCTTAGGGGGGAAAGGGGGGAAAGGATCTCAACAGCGAAAGGGGGCAAAGGATCTTAGGGAGGAAAAGGGAGAAGATCTTGGGGGGGAAAACGCCTTAGGGGGGAAAGGGCGGGAAAGGATCTCAACAAGGAAAGGGGGGAAAAGATCTTAGGAAGGAAAAGGGGGAAGATCGCGGGGGGAAAAAAGGCCTTAGGGGGGAAAGGAGGGAAAGGATCTCAACAGGGAGAGGGGGGAAAACATCGTAGGGAGGAAAAGGGAAAAACTCAGAGGGAGAAAGGGCCTTAGGGGGGAAAGGGGGAATGGATCTCAACAGGGAAAGGTGGCAAAAGATCTTAGGGAGGAAAAGGGAGAAGATCTCAGGGGGGGAAAGGCCTTAGGGGGGAAAGGGGGGAAAGGATCTGAGCAGGGAAAGGGGGGGAAAGATCTTAGGGAGGAAAGGGAGAAGATCTGGGGGCAAAGGCCTTAGGGGGGAAAGGGGAGAAATGATCTCAACAGGGAAAGGGGTGGAAAAGATCTTAGGGAGGAAAGGGAGAAGATCTGGGGGAAAAAAGGCCAACAGGGAAAGGGGGGAAAGATCTAAGGAAGGAAAAGGGAGAAGCTCTCAGGGGGGGAAAGGCCTGAGGGGGGAAAGGGTGGGAAGGATCTCAACAGGGAAAGGGGGGAAACAATCTTAGGAAGGAAAGGGGGGGGAAGGTCTTAGGGAGGAAAGGGAGAAGATCTGGGAGAAAAGGACTTAGGGGGGAAAGCCCAACAGGGAAAGGGGGGAAAAGATCTTAGGAAGGAAAAGGGAGAAGCTCTCAAGTGGGGAAAGGCCTTGGGAGGGAAAGGGGGGAAAGGATCTCAACAGGGAAAGGGTGGGAAAGATCTTAGGGAGGAAAGGGGGGGAAGATCTTAGGGAGGAAAGGGAGAAGATCTGGGAGAAAAGGACTTAGGGAAGAAAGCCCAACAGGGAAAGGGGGGAAAAGATCTTAGGAAGGAAAAGGGAGAAGCTCTCAGGGGTGGGAAAGGCCTTAGGGGGGAAAGGATCTCAGCAGGGAAAGGGGGGGGGGAAAGATCTTAGGGAGGAAAGGGAGAAGATTTGGGGACAAAGGCCTTAGGGGGGAAAGGGGAGAAATGATCTCAACAGGGAAAGGGGTGGAAAAGATCTTAGGGAGGAAAGGGAGAAGATCTGGGGGAAAAAAGGCCAACAGGGAAAGGGGGGAAAGATCTAAGGAAGGAAAAGGCAGAAGCTCTCAGGGGGGGGAAAGGCCTTAGGCGGGAAAGGGTGGGAAGGATCTCAACAGGGAAAGGGGGGAAACAATCTTAAGAAGGAAAAGGGGGAAGATCTGGAAAGGCCTTAAAGGGAAGGGGGGAAAGGATCTCAACGGGGAAAGGGGGCAAAGGATCTTAAGGAGGAATAGGGAGAAGATCTCAGCGGGGGGAAAGGCCTTAGGAAGGAAAGGAGGGAAAGGATCTCAACAGGGAAAGGGGGGGAAAGATCTCAGTGAGGAAAGGGAAAAGCTCCCAGGCAGGGAAAAGGCCTTAGGGGGGAAAGGGGGAAAGGATCTCAACAGGGAAAGGGGGGAAACAATCTTAAGAAGGAAAATGGGGAAGATCTGGAAAGGCCTTAAAGGGAAGGGGGGAAAGGATCTCAACGGGGAAAGGGGGCAAAGGATCTTAAGGAGGAATAGGGAGAAGATCTCAGCGGGGGGAAAGGCCTTAGGAAGGAAAGGAGGGAAAGGATCTCAACAGGGAAAGGGGAGGAAAGATCTCAGTGAGGAAAGGGAGAAGATCCCAGGCAGGGAAAAGGCCTTAGGGGGGAAAGGGGGAAAGGATCTCAACAGGGAAAGGGGGCAAAGGATCTTCGGGAGGAACAGGGAGAAGATCTGAAAAGGCCTTAGGGGGAAAAGGGGGAAAGGAGCTCAACAGGGAAAGGTGGGAGAAGATCCTAGGGAGGAAAAGGGAGAAGATCTTGGGGGGAAAGGGGGAAGGATCTCAACCAAGGGAAAAGATCTTGGGGAGGACAAGGGAGAAGATCTCAGGGGGGGAAAGGCCTTAGGGGGGAAAGGGGGGAAAGGATCTCAACAGGGAAAGGGGGCAAAGGATCTTAGGGAGGAAAAGGGAGAAGATCTTGGGGGGGAAAACGCCTTAGGGGGGAAAGGGCGGGAAAGGATCTCAACAAGGAAAGGGGGGAAAAGATCTTAGGAAGGAAAAGGGGGAAGATCGCGGGGGGAAAAAAGGCCTTAGGGGGGAAAGGAGGGAAAGGATCTCAACAGGGAGAGGGGGGAAAACATCGTAGGGAGGAAAAGGGAAAAACTCAGAGGGAGAAAGGGCCTTAGGGGGGAAAGGGGGAATGGATCTCAACAGGGAAAGGTGGCAAAAGATCTTAGGGAGGAAAAGGGAGAAGATCTCAGGGGGGGAAAGGCCTTAGGGGGGAAAGGGGGGAAAGGATCTGAGCAGGGAAAGGGGGGGAAAGATCTTAGGGAGGAAAGGGAGAAGATCTGGGGGCAAAGGCCTTAGGGGGGAAAGGGGAGAAATGATCTCAACAGAAAGGGGTGGAAAAGATCTTAGGGAGGAAAGGGAGAAGATCTGGGGGAAAAAAGGCCAACAGGGAAAGGGGGGAAAGATCTAAGGAAGGAAAAGGGAGAAGCTCTCAGGGGGGAAAGGCCTGAGGGGGGAAAGGGTGGGAAGGTCAACAGGGAAAGGGGGGAAACAATCTTAGGAAGGAAAAGGGAAAAGATCTGGAAAGGCCTTAAAGGGAAGGGGGGAAAGGATCTCAACAGGGAAAGGGGGCAAAGGATCTTAAGGAGGAATAGGGAGAAGATCTCAGCGGGGGGAAAGGCCGTAGGGGGGAAAGGGGGGAAAGGATTCCAACAGGGAAAGGGGGGGAAAGATCTCAGGGAGGAAAGGGAAAAGATCCCAGGGAGGAAAAGGCCGTAGGGGGGAAAGTGGGGGAAAGGGAGGAAAAGGGAGAAGATCTCAGGGGGGAAAAGGCCTTAGGGGGGAAAGGGGGGAAAGGATCTCAACAGGGAGAGGGGGGAAAACATCTTAGGGAGGAAAAGGGAAAAAAAAAACAGAGGGAGACAAGGCCTTAGGGCGGAAAGGGGGAATGGATCTCAACAAAGAAAGGGGGCAAAAATCTCAGAGGGGAAGGGGGCAAGGGGACAATTCCAAAGGGACGCAAATAAGAAAGCAGGCCTGTAATGTCGGCGGCCTGAGCCGGAGGCGTTAAAATATATATATATATATATGTATCTCTCTATATATATATATATATATATATATACACACACATCTACATCCATCCAGTGCGTGTGTGTGTGTGTGTGTGTGCATGCATGGTACTTTTTCAGTGTGTAGACACAACCATGTATGCATATGTATCTATATGTATATATATATACATATGTTGTATGAATGTGTGTATATATATATATGTACATGTTCATCCAGCCATGTAGACAATTACATCAAATGTATGGTTGTTCATTGCCTTGTTTCACATTTCGGCTCCGGTCACACAAACCCCGGGATCGCTGGGCCCTCGCGCCAAGTACTTCTGCAGCTTCTCGGCGCTGTTTAGGAAGAAGGGGAGCCGCACCACCTCCGACGCTCGATCCGTGTCCCTCGTGCTTCCCCTTCACCCCCACCGAAGGCTTCCCTCGAAGAGTTGATAGACAGGGGCCATGGAAACGGCATGCGAAAAGCAGGCGGACCCTTGGCTCAATCACGTCTTTTGTTCGGGAAACCGGCAGGGAACACATCGAAAAACGCCAAACAGGAAGGCGAAATCAGAAGCCCTCCAGGCTCGTTGGAAGGCATCGCAGAAGAATTCGACCGAATCACTGGGCAAGTCCCGAATCGCTTCAACCCAATGAGCACCAGACAATTGGTGGTTTTCCCCGGAGCACATGGGAAGATTGGGCGCCCTTGATTACCCAAACACACGATTTTGTCAGCTCAAATGTTTCTTCAGACCCCGGAGCTGTTCACGCCAGCTCCAGAGTTGCGGGCCTCCTTCCGCAGGAGGAAGTGGACCTTGTCCAAGTCCTGGCAGGGAAAATTTGCCAATTGGCAGGGCCCCAGAAAGAATCACGGCCGCATTGTCCCATGAGGGAACTTGGATTCACACCCCACAAACCCCATTCTAAAGACCCTTGGAGTACACATGCCTTGCCTCAGGGGGTGCTTTGGAAAGCCCGGTGGTGGGCTGGTCTGGTGGTCTGGTGAATGAGTCTCTTCAGACTTTGTGGCCAATGGCAAAGCCATATGGCCATGGGTCAAAAGCACGGTTTAAAATAGGTGGTGCACCGAAAACCCCAGTAGGTCAAAAATAGGTACCCCAAATGGAACCCTGGTAGAACGAAACATGGACGATTGAACCTGCGGTCCCCTGGTGGTTTAATTTTGACAACCACAGCCATAATTACGGAGGACGCTCACCGGACGTGGATCTCGTGGTAACCCTCGGTCAGTTGTTCAGGGCCTTTGTGAGCTGCGGGGAAACTCCGGCCGGAAAAATCTGCCGAGCAGCGGCCGAAGGTGCGGCCGGGAAAAGTCAACCGGTCACGTTGGATGGTTAGAATAAGTTGGTACCCGATTTTTTTCCTGTAATCTATTTTAGCCCCAAAAAAGGGGAGAGAAGGGCACTACTGGGGGACCTAGAAGCTGCAACCCATCTTGTCAAGTTGTCAAGGCAAAACAGAACTCTCCTCCCGCTGGTTGCGGCCATGCTGCAAATTGCCCCACAAGCAGCTTCGAACTGGAAAACCGTGGCTCTCTCTTCGCCCAGAAACCATGGGAGGCACTTTGCCGTTCAGCTCAGAGGAAGTCGCCCGTTTGGCAACGTGCTCCGCCTTTTTTTCGTCGCTGCGGCGAAACGCCCCGCGCCGGAGTTCCCCGCCTTTCTCAGCTTGACGTTCTCTATCGGCCCTTTGGAATTCTACGCTTGCCCATGGTCTGACACCATCAGCCCCCAAAAAAACTGTGGAGGGTCCCCAAAAGAAACGGGGACTTTCCTTCCCTCGAGGCTGAACGGCTTCGGCTCCGCGGCTCCTGCAGCGCGATCTGCCCCCCGTACAAGCGGCCAAAGTCCACCTCCTCCAGGTGCCTTCGTTGAGCGAAAGCGGCGAAAGCGGAAGGACGGATTGAAATGGGTATGGGTCAAAATTCAACCAGGATATGGACCGCAGGTTCTTTTAGTCCATGATTCCATTGACCAGGGCAACCCATTTTGGGGTTTTTGACCCACAGCCAAATTAATTTGACTTGGAGCTCCAACAGTGTCTACGCAGGTGTTCGGGCTGGCTACGTTAAGCTTGGAGTTGTTGTGCAGGAGGGTTTGGGGGGAGTGGACAGGGTGGTTGGGGTCGGTTTGGCTTTCCTTGAGCTTGGTGTACGGAATTGAGGGTTCGTGCAATCATTTGGGCAGGTTTCGTCGAGACGAGGGGATTTGAAAGGGAAACCAAGATGAGATGAACTTTGGGAGCACTGCTCTGGCCCCGAAATCACCACAAGCAAATGCGCCCATCCAAGTTTCCGTTGTTCTCCTGTGGATTGAGTCCACGGGCAGCCTTGCCCCCACGCCAACATGTCATTCAGCAGGCCAAGGGACAAATCACATCAACCCTCCAAGCTTTCTTGAGGGTACGATTTTGGGGAGTTCGTTTAAAGGGAAACCAAAAGGAGTGCCACCTATTCTGACACACACCCTTTAAGATACCATTCGCCATTGGATGGCAGCACCGTTTCTCTTTCAGGAGGTCCATTGTTGTCCCCGACTCGGTCTGGCGGAACTTGGTTTGTGGGGCCCAACGCAACACCCTCGCTGGCAAACCACCTTCCCTGGTGTCGGTGGTTTGCGGATCCCCCAAAATGGTGGGTTTCTCTGGCGGGTTCCCTTTCAACCAACCTCAAAATGGAAGGCCGTCGCCTCACAAAACCCAGCCGCGCCCATCACATCCTGCCCCTCTAAGGCGGCAGAAGCACCCAAGTAAAAAAAAAAAAACTGGGCGCCCAGCATCAGGATCTCCACCGCACCCTTGAAGTACGCCTTTCCGATGGCCACAAGAAAAGAAAAAGAAAAGCGGTGTCTTGGGTGCCGGAAGCTCCACGCTGCTTTTGAAAAAGACGGCATGCGAGAGAAAAAAGGTCGCGGAAGCGACCTATGCCTTCGGGAACTACACACCTCATGTCACAAGCACCGCCAGTCTCCCGGGCTCCCTGAATCTCCAACCTAAAAAACCGTCAAGGGCAACTGATTCAAATGGCCTAAGGTGGTGTGGTAATTAAACCCACCAGGGAAACATCAGGATCCCAGGAGAGCTTCGGTTGCGTGCCTTCCCGAAGTCCGGTTTGGACGGACGGATCTTTTCACCGCTGACTGGGCCATCCGCGCGGATGAGCGGCCCGCGGCCCGCCTGGTCCATGTAGAAGGCCCCGGGCAGGGAGGTGTCCAACATGCCGCGCTTCACGCGGCAGCAGATCTGCCAGCACCTGAAGCTGGGGTTCTTGTTGTGTTTGGGGGTGGGGGTGTTGGGGGTGTTGGGGGTGTTGGGGGTGTTGGGGATGTTGGGGGTGTTGGGGGTGTTGGGGGTGGGTGTTGGGAATGTTGGGTGTTGGGGGCTGGGTGTTGGGAGTTGGGGGGAGGAGAGTTGGGGGGGGGGGGTTGTGGCTTTATGTCGAAGGGAAAACAAAAGGACAACCACAAACTTTGAGGGTCGCTCATTGCTGCGCCAGGACGAAAGTAGATGTCACAATTCGGTTGTGTGCAAATGGGTGGTATGATGTCGGAAGTTTTCACACATGAAGCGGTAATCAGAACGGCATTTGCCGGTCTTAACACATTGCCTCTCGAGCAGTGGTTTTCACATGTGCATATTCGTCGAAACTGACCCAGGCCATTGGACAATATTGCAAGCTATGATACCGAAATGGCCTTCCCATTCCTATGACTGACAGTAGTCTTCTTGGGGGCCACTTACGGAAAGTGGCAACCCAAACCCAACTTTCCACGGTTCAACCCCTCCTCGCCGGTTCGAACCTTCGAAGCGGATTCAAGTCCGCGCCTCTTCACATCGGACACCTGGCCAGGGCACTTGTGGTCGGCAAACTCTGCCCTTCAACCAAGGGGTTTCAGGGGTTTCAGGGGCTTCAGAGGTTTCAGGGGTTTCAGAGGTTTCAGGGGTTTCAGGGGTTTCAGGGGTTTCAGGGGCTTCAGAGGTTTCAGGGGTTTCAGGGGCTTCAGAGGTTTCAGGGGTTTCAGAGGTTTCAGGGGTTTTAGGGGTTTTAGAGGTTTCATGGGAACTCAACTGCATTTGGCCCCCGAAGGTTTGTGGCTACCAGGAGCGGCTTTGGCCATCGCCGGACAGCCTCGCTGAAACCCAGTGCCAGCCGTGACAAATCCATGAAAACTGGTCAGCTCTGGCTTTCCGTGCGGCATGTGGGGATGCCCGGAGAAAGGAAAAAAACGCCATTGCAGGGCATCCAAACAACCAATCCTGCGGATTGGTCCTCCTTTCTAACAGCCCAGGCGTACAGGCAACAGGCACCGTACCTAGCAAGCGAAATGCGCTCCGCCGCTTTGTGCTGGCATCCCTGTTCCTGCCAAACGCATGTGAGTCATTGAGCCGAAGCACCCTTTACGTCTCCTTCCATCCTTGGGCTCAACGCGTCACGAATGACCAGGCCCAATTCGCAGCAAGCCCTGCACCGCAATGATTTGGCCTCCCCGCTTTGAAGCCAAAGAAGCCAAACTCGCCACCGGTCGCCAAAGGGTTGGCGGTACCCCTCTTTCTTGTTCCTTTCTTTTTGAGCGGGGGAGAGGTCCCATTTCCCTCAAGAAAGAACGCGCCACCTCCACGTCCCAACCTCCCAACCTCCACCAACCACCCACCGCTCGCGGCCTGCTGCCGGAGCTCGCGGAAAAGCTCCACGAAACCCACTTGCGCGCCGCGGCAAACCGCCCAGTACCGCACCGCCTCCCGCGGGGTTTGTGGCGGGGTGGGTGGGCTGGTCGTGGCGGGGTGGCTTCGTGGTTTCGGTGGTGGCGGTTTTGATGTTTTGGAGGACGTGGATTTTGGGAATGAATCCGCTGCCGTCCGCTTTTGCTTGATGGAATCGGACGTTTCGGAGTTGGAGGGGATGGGTTCGGTGGATTTGGAAGCCCATCCACTGGCATGGTCTACACTCCCATGCACTTTCTTGGAATCTGACGTTTCGTGTGGTTCCTTTTGTTGGGACCATTTTTGTGGTGGGTTCCATGTGAATGGAGAGAAGGCTATTCAGGTTTGTTTATAAGGATCATCCATAAATAAGACAGATTGCTTAAATGAATCACTTTGGAGGGTGTGATGCTAATCTGACTTGAGCCCACTCCTTGCACGTGATGGAGCAAAGGCTACCCTCCAAGCCGGGTGAAGCAAGCAGCCAAGCAGCATGTCAACAAAGCAGCTAAGAAACATGTGAAATCGAAAAAGGAACAGCCAGCAATCTCCAAGGGTGGTCCATTTGTAGCTGCAGTGCTCTGGTGTGAGCCTTTTTGGGTACAAATGGACCACCCTTTGAGGGTGCTGGAGTAAGGAATGGGATGGGATGCTCGATGAAGCTCCAGAGATGTGCACGAATCCTGGATTTCGGAGAGGCTTCTCTCCGCACGGCCCCTCTCCGCAGAATCTTCTTTCTGCATTGTCCATGGGCGCAAACATCGACAAATACAAAACACCTGCCAAATGGCATCGGCAAGCTTGGAGAGTCCGAACTTTGGGCGACCAATGTCAAGCTGTCTGTAAAATCCGGTGCCCTGTGAGGGCGATCAAATGCTTATCAACCAATCCATTTGGAAGGCTCAGCTGGGTTTGGCACACGACTGTAGCCATACATCCCAAAACTCGATGGCCCCTGGACCCTGGAATCCGCCATGGTTCTCCCATGCAAAGGGCCGTCGTTCTTTGGAGTTGCTACCCCCAGCCCCCTTTTTGGAAGATTCGCCGCAAGGAAAAAACGACACGCCCATTCGGGGACGGGACTCACACGTGCGCCAGGGAGACACACAGGGGCACCGATGCTGGACCGACTCGGTGTAAAAATACTAGGATGCACAGGGTTCATTGCAAAGGAAGGAACCCGCATGCCCAGATTCCTCCAAAAAGATACTTCCCACACGAGAAAAAGTACCCATGGTCATGTGGAAGACTGATTGCGGAATATTGATCAAACCCCAGATGGGATAACCAAATATGTCCCATGGGCAAAATCACCCATGGTCATTTCGGGGCCCAATGGAATATGGATTGATTAACCCCAAGATCTGGAGCTTCTGGATCTTCGAAATGTCCATCCGGCACCTGCGTGTAGAGCAGCTTGCAGGGCAAGCTGAGATACCTCGAAAACCCAGCGGAGGCGGTCGGTTTGTGTCCGAAGGTCAGAGGTCGGTCGGTCGGGAGCCTGACGGCTTCGGGGTGCCCTTTAAAGGGAAAATGGTCTTCCAACCGTTCCCAGGTCAGGTTCCGTGTGAAACAGCTGGGAGGTCGTCGGCATGCGGCAGTGCTTGGTTTGTGGTTGGTTTATTGGTTGCTTTGTTTGGTTGGCTTATTCACAGTTGGTTTGGGTGGTTGAAAGCAGCATTTGCGGGTGAACGAACAAATACGGAAGCCATCCGGCAGATGGCTTAGAGCCATCTGAAATGGGAAACTCAGCGACATATGTGGGTGTCTTTTTGTGAGGGTACCCCTATTTTGGGTTGGTTTTGAAGGGAAGCCAAAAGGAAACCAACCATTTGTGGGGGGGGGGGGGGCGCCTAAAAAACGGCACGCCCATGTTCCGCTTGGAGTGTGTCCAGGAAATACGCAGCCCCAAAGCGGCACAAGAGAAGACTCAACTGGACTCCTCCGGCTCGAGACATCGGGCTTTTGGTGTGAGGCAACGACGGACCCATCCAAAATGGTGCTTCCTGGTGGTTGTCCTTTAAAGCCAACCATGTTTGACCCGCACCAAGCAAATGGATGCCCTTTTGAGGGGGGTACCCCCAAACATGGTGGGTTTCCTTTGCTTCCTTTTGGCTTCCCTGTAAAAAAAAACAGCCAAGAAGGGCTTCCCTCGAGGCTTTTCCAAGCAACCCAATCGAGCTCGCAAAGGGCGCAATGGACAAAGGACCAATCACCTCCTGCCCTTCTTCCTCCCATGCAGGCATCCAGGCATGCTACACCCGCTCCCACTCACAGACCCATTCTAAACCACCACTCCCACCCTTATATCCCGAAGGCACCTTAGATACCTCTGCCCCACAGGTATCCTTTTGGGTGTAATAGATGGCCCTGGTAAATCGAAAACCAACCCAAACCAGCATCCATTTCTAACCAAACCAAACCTAAAACAGATACCTATGCCTGACCCGGACAGCCAGCTATCCAAGCCCAAGCCCCCCGGGGCACGTGTTCAAGGTCGCGAAGCCTTCCTCTGTGATCCAAGGGTTGGTCAGCTTGTACCGATCCCGGCAGCCATGCCACACCTGATCCCAAACATGGGCACGCCAGGTTTACGCAATTGTCTGTGTGGCACGTGTATTTTTTGTATATATGCCATAATGTGTGTATGTATGTTTGTATTTATGTACTTACGTCTGTGTTTTTTGCCATGTATTCATGGTTTGTCATTCATTGGTTTCTGTATGGTACTATGTTGTAATCGATTTCTTTATACCTATCTATCTATCTATCTGTCTGTCTGTCTACCTACCTACCCATCTATCCATCTATCCATCTATCCATCTCTCCATGTATCCATCTATCCATCCCATCTATCCATCTATCCATCTACCAATCTATCAATCTATCAATCTATCAATCTACCCACCTATCTATCTATCTATCTATCTATCTATCTATCTATCTATCTATCTATCTATATATATATATATCTACCTATCTATCTATCTATCTATCTATCTATCTATCTATCTATCTATCGACCTATCGACCTATCGATCTATCGATCTATCGATCTAGCGATCTATCGATCTATCAGATCTATCGATCTATCGATCTATCTATCTATCGATCTATCCATCTATCAATCTATCCATCTATGAATATGTTCATCTACCAATCTATCAATCTATCAGTCTATCTATCTATCCATCCATCCATCCATCCATGCACCTATTTATCTACCTATCTAATCTATCTGTGCATCTATTTACTTAGTGACTATGATTGTCTGTGTGTATGTTCTCGTGTGTGTGTGTCCTTAATTGTTTCATGTGTTTACTTGCGTATGTCTTAAAATTATGTGGTGTGTTCTACTTCAATATCTGTGTCCACCTAGCTATCTATCTGTCTGTCTGTCTGTCTGTCTCTGTCTGTCTGTCTGTCGGTCGGTCGGTCGGTCTGTCTGTCTGTCTGTCTGTCGGTCGGTCGGTCGGTCTGTCTGTCTGTCTGTCGATGTATATGTTTATGTGTACTGACACTATTTACTTGCTTATTTGTTTGTTTGGTGTTTGGTTTGACGATTCAGTTTATTGATGTTTGATTCATGAAATAGTTTAAATGACATGCTTCATGTATTGTTGATTTTCTCTAATTCATGTATTGATTTGCTCTTTTAGCGTTGTTTTATGTGTCTATGGTATCTATTTGTTGACGCTCTGTAGTTGATCAAATCCATTTGTTGACGTAGTTAATCAAATAGAAAGCTAATTACGGGATTAGTTAATCACCTCATTGAATAATTGGTGCCTCTTGCTCCGGAGTAGTCATGTGTCAAAGCTCCTTTGGCCGGGTGGTTGCTTCTTGTCCACTTCGGGGGTCCTTGAAAAAACTCCCCTCAGCGACCAAGTCAAAAAACGTGTCGCGGATCCAGGCCTGGTGCTCATCGTTCATCATGCGCAGAAGGTGTGTCCCCACCTGCAACTCCAACAATCGACGGATCAAATGGACTTCGTCTTTTGGCGTGGGCCAACTCTGGGACTTAAGTCTTGGAAGTTGGCGGTCTGGCGGTCCCGCAAACAGCTGCCCCGTGTTTGTTTTAGGCGTAAAGTGATTGATTCAGAACACGCATCTTGGCTCTTGGGCCAAGAATTGCGCCAACCAAAATGGGCCATCCTGGCACTTCAGACTTCAGCATCCGACTCCAGCAACCCGGCCTCGTGGTCGCAAATGCTTTGGAGGATAGGCTTGGACACCGGCCTGCGCGCGCAGCTGACGCCCGTTGGGGAGGCCTGGAAATCGAAGAATCTTGCAACTGGAAAGCGAGTCCTGGCGTTTGCACCCCACTTTCTGAAAATCAAAGGATCCATGCGACCACCAACTAAAACCCTGAAACGGTGGCCCTCTTTGTTGGGGAGTCAAGTCACTGCACATGACCCTTGGAATGAGTGTGAGCAACGCTTCCCAAATTAGCATCAGTGAGTTGGGATTCATCCAGAATGAACAAACGAAGGCATCCTTGTGGTTTACCTGGGGAATGCACAAGTGCGATCGAAGAAACGACCACCGGCCCATTTGATGTACTTTGAGAGAGCGACACGTGAACCCTGCTGGCACCCATTCGCGATGTTCACGGCGTATCTGCCCTCGCCAATGGTCGCCTAGACAATCGAGGTGAGACTCTCATGGGTGGCTCGTCTCTTAGGGGACTCCCCAAAATGGCGCCGGTTTTGTGGTGTCCCTTGAAAACCACCAAAAGAGGGGTGCCCAAAAAAAACAAGACACACACCCCAAGTAAACCCTGACAACGTTCCTCCTACTTGGTCGACTTTCTGCCAAACCCAGGGGGCCCTCAAAGGCCCCGGCCACGTTGGCAGCGCTCAGCATGCCCTCCACGAGCCGAATCTCCACCTTGTCATCCACCTCGTTTTCCGAACGTAAGAAATTCTGCGCCATGGTTGCTTGCGATCGGTGCGAGGGATGCAGGGAATGAGAGTTATGGAATGACCCCAAGAAACACCATCCCACTGGTGGTTTCCTTCAAGGGGACCAAAGCCTGGGTTGATTCCCACATTCCCTACACCAAGTTTGGTCCAACCCGAAAATGGCTGAGACCCCAGCTTAGTTTGATACCCCAAAACGGTTGCCCCAAAACGGCTCCAGGTGACAAGGATGTTCACCTGCACCTGGAAATCGACAAGTCAATACTCTTCTGAAAGAAATAGCGGGGGCTGTGAATTAAGGAAGTCAAAGAAGTCAATGCAACTTCCACATCTCAATAACGCTCGCTTCAGGAGCCTACGTCTTATTGACCATTTGACCATGTTTTGGCTGATGGCGTTGACGCAAGTAGCTGCGCTGCAAAGCCCGGGGGATGCCAGAGCACTAACTTCGGAAATGCGAGGACTTGTTTGTCGGACGGTTGCAAATGGTGATCACAAGCCTCTATAATGTAGCTTACAAATCCCATCGCAAATGCTCTGTCTCCCTTTTCTTGTATCTGTTGAAGGGAAACCAAAAGGAACATCGAAGCCATTTGGTGTGTCCAACCTTAAAAAAGACACGCCACGTCTCAACATGGCACTGACTTCCCAAACAAAAACACCCGACAATTGCCGCAAGAACGCGGAAAAGGTTTCCACATGCGGGTGTACCTGCTTCCCAATATACAGTTGACCAAACGGACAGTTGGATTGAAAAACGTCAAACACATGGATGAAAAATCGGGGCTGCAAACCCCAAATTCGACCATCCAGCTGGGCCAGCTGTGAGGCCCCAAAGGCGCCCAGAGCGCGACCTCGGGACTGGGAGGTTCTCCGACTGGAAGGCACAGCGTCCTACCCTCCGGTCCAACTGAGGGGTGCTGGAAGAAGATGATTTTCACCTTTAAGGTTCCATGTGAGTGAACCGCAAAGTGAGGAGTGCTGAATTGTGGGGGCTGTCATCTTTTCTCGCACCGAGCGGTGGGCGTTGTGCTCCTTGAGGTAGTCGGCCACCATCTGGCGCAACCTCAGGTCCCGGCGCCACGAGCCGTTTGTTCAGCAGCATCGCCCGGATTGTTTCGAAGCTGGACGCATGCGTCCGACCATGGCACTCTTGACATGAAACGAACTCTACCGTTCCTTGCAAGCCCTTGGAATCTTCTCAACATCAAGTGGGTGCGAATTTGTTGCAGGATTTGTTCGTTTTTTGGGGGGGAAAACAAATACTGGATTGAAGCATATGTTGAAGCTAAAGCCCAATATCGCGTTGCGCCAGCCAAGCCAATGATCTTAGCCAACATGCATTGCAGAGAAAACAGATTGAAACCGGTTCCCAATGCAGTCAAACTAGGGCAGCGCATGTTGCTCCAAGCAGGCTATGGCAAAGACTTCAACAGGCCAGTGACCATTTGCACTCTAGTCACATAATCTGAGAGCATGCCTAATCTGAGCTTGCGAATTACTGGATTGCGTTGGGGCCTTTACGCAACACGCGCCGAATCAGAACAACAGCCGAGGACCATGGACAGACACCTGACCACAAGCCAAGAATCACATGAGGGACAATGCCCAGGATCACCAAAATCGCGCAGCCCTGGCAACTCCGCAAACCACTCTTTGTATGGCTCCAGAAAGGTTAAGACGTATGGCCAATCCAATACAACCTGCCACTCCCTCTACAACTCAACAAAAGAGGAAGTCAGTTGTCTCCCCACCCGAGAGGTTTGGGGATGTTAGATGTCAAGTGACATCCGATCATACTCCACCCGGTGTTTCCAGGTGTGCTTTTGTTTCGAAGTCAAGTAATTTCTTTTTTGCAGGGGCGGGATGGGGGGAGGGATGGGGGGAGGGAACTTTGCCCGCTGCCCCTTCCCAAGGCACTCCACTTGGGCCCCTGCTCTTCACATGGCGCCTTCTCCTCCCCGTACCTGGAGAGCATCTGAAAAATGCAAATGCTCCGGGTTTGTACCTTGGCTCCCGTCATGATATTTTGGCCTGGGAGCACTGCCACAAGTGTGCCTGTCGCATCTTAAAGAATGAGGATATCGGGTGGTTCCAAGCAAAATGGTTGCCAAGTCACCCGCTTCCTATGCGAGACGTGTCTCAACATCAAGGCTTCCGCGGCCTTTCCCAACCTTAGGAAAGGCCCCCATTGGCCCGGCCAAACCGTACGATCCTCAATGTCGGGCGACTCACAACAGGCCGTGGTCCACAGCCGGACGGTGGGCGCAAATAAACCATGAACAAAAAAAGCACGACGCGGAAAGTGAAAAAAAACGGCCATGGAACCATTGACTTTCTCTGTGTTTTGTGCGGGGGGCATAAGACAGGTAGCGGGGGGGACCAAGTCTTGGTTCTGATTTTTCTGGGCACATGCGCTGCATGAAGGCATCTGGCCCGCCGTAGGCACTGTGCACCTCAAGTGCGAAGCCAGGGAGTCTGCAGGCAGCTTACACTGGTGAGATGGTTTCTGCAAAACTCGATGGGTGTGGGTCTAAAATAGGTGCCCGAAATTGGAAGCCTGGTAAATGGAAACATGGACTATAACCTTCTGTCGATATCCTGGCGGTTTGATTTTAACCTATACCCACATGTTGATCAAGCAGAGCTAGGATTGCTCTATGGCCGGAAAACCAGGCGGTCAAACTATGGCCCCTCTAACTCCAGCAAAACAGCACATGTCACCAAAAAGTGGCATACCTTTCTGGCCAAACTGGAAAGGGAACCCCCACAGACGGACCTTCTCCTTGTGTTGCCGATAATATTAGCTAGAATAGGATCGGGATTCAGTACTGTAACAACAGGGAGTCTTTGTTGAGGGTATCCTTTTCTTGGTGGTGTTTTGCTCAAGGAAAAACAAAAGGAAAACCACCATTTTGGGGGTCCCCCCCCAAAGGGGGAAAAAAAGCTAAGTCATCATGGAGAAAAAAAAAAAACGTGATCATTGCCCTTATGTCACTTGCTGGTTCAACAGGGAATGAAGGAATGACCCCAATCGAAGTGCACCATCCAAGTGGTGTCCTGTGAGGGTGTCCCGAACCAGTCATTCCCGAACAGCCTTTGGAGTGCCGACTGAGAACCAGCGAGATCAGTTTTCTGATGCAACTTCCCAGGTGTTTCGCAGAATGGCGGAAAAAATCCTCATGGTTGGTATTGATGTAAAGCGAAACCAAAAGAGAACCTACCGTTGTACTGAGTTGCTCCTCCCTGCTGAGCAAAAGGGTCGATCACCTTTCGCACAGTGGAAAAAATGGTTTCCTTACCATTGTTCATAGACCTTTTGCTAGAACTCAAGCACACCACCACCGCAAACACACCTCCAAAACTGGTCTTCCAAAAAAAAAAAAAAAACGCCGCCTTGTCGATGATGCGCTTTGCCGCTCCCAGGTGCTCGAAACAAACGCTAGAATTCTCCTACGGATCGCCCATGGCCGGAACACGCGTGGCTCATGTTTGGATACATTTATATTATACACATGTGTGTGTGTGCTTTTGATTGTCTATCTATGTGTATGTATGTATGTATGTATGTATGTATGTATGTATGTCTGTCTGTATGTATGTATGTATGTATGTATGTATGTATGTATGTATGTATGTATGTATGTATGTATGTATGTATGCATGTATGCATGTATGCATGTATGTATGCATGTATGTGCATGTATGTATATGCATGTATGCATGTATGCATGTATGTATGCATGTATGCATGTATGCATGTATGTATGTATGTATGCATGTATGCATGTATGCATGTATGCATGTATGCATGTATGCATGTATATGTATGTATGCATGTATGCATGTATGCATGTATGCATGTATGCATGTATGCATGTATGCATGTATGTATGTCTGTCTGTCTGTCTGTCTGTATGTATGTATGTATGTATGTATGTATGCATGTATGTATGTATGTATGTAGCTATCTATCTATGTATGTATGTACGTTCGTATGTATGTATCTTTCTATCTATGTATCTATCGATCTATGTATCTAGCGATCTATCTATCTATCGATCTATCTATCTATCTATCTATCTATCTACGTATGTATGTACGTATGTATCTATCTGTCTGTCTGTCTATCTATCTATCTATGTAGGTATCTATCTATCTATCTATCTATCTATCTATCTATGTAGGTATGTAGGTATGTAGGTATGTAGGTATGTAGGTATGTAGGTATGTAGGTATGTAGGTATGTAGGTATGTAGGTATGTATCTATGTATCGATGTATCTATGTATCTATGTATCTATGTATCTATGTATCCATGTATCTATGTATCTATGTATCTATGTATCTATGTATGTATCTATCTATCTATCTATGTATGTATGTATGTATGTATGTATGTATGTGCAAGTTGCTCACTGTGTTGTTATAGAAGTGCACTTACTTCCTCTTTTTCCTCAAGCTTCGCTGCCACCAGCTGCGCCTGGTTGGGTGTAGGGGTTGCTCACCCACCCCTCCCTCCCACCCCCACCCACCCACCCGCCCACCCGCTCAACCCCCCAGCCACCCACCCCCGCCCACCGCCACCCACACTTGGCAATTTCGGAAGGTTGACACGATGCCGGGGATGCTGGGGATGCTGGCAAGTGGGCAAGTTGGAGGATGTAGGGGATGTTGGCTGGGGGCGAGTTGGATACTTCCTTCTCCGGATGATGCAGGGGATACTCAGGAGGAGATTGGTGCTAACAAAACACGTCAGCCGCATACCCTAGGGGAAGACACACAGCTACTATCTTGTATTTGTTTGTGTGTGTGTGTTCATTTAAAATGTGGCTAATATGTTTGTTCCGTGTTTTTGTGTTGCTTGCTTGTTGTGTTTTACTGTTGTATTCACTTGTGTATTCTTCATTGTTTCACTTACGTAACTACATATGCATGTATTCATTATTTTATCTATTTGATTGCATGGTCATTTGCTTGCTTGTGCATGCATGCATGCGTGTATGTACGTACGTACGTTCGTATGTATGTGTGTGTGTGTGCGCGTATGTATGTCTGTATGTATGTCTGTATGCATGTATGTATGTATGCATGCATGTATGTATGCATGCCTGCATGGATGTATGTATGTATGTATTGATGTATCTATGTATCTATGTATCTAGGTATCTATGTCTATGTAACTATGCATGCATGCATGCGTGCGTGCATGTATGTATGTATGTATGTATCTATCTATCTATCCATCTATCTATGTATGGATCTATCTATCTATGTAGGTATGCATGTATGTATAGTTATCTATCTATCCATCTATGTATGTATGTATGTAAGTATGTATGTCTGCCTGTCTGTCTGTATGTATGTATGCATGTATGTATGTGTGTACGTATTTATGTAGTTTCTGTGTGTATTAAATCAAAACATTTGTTCATATACGTATTCATTGATTTACTTATTTGTTGTCTGTTCCTGATTGATCTATGGACTTGTTGTTTGTGTATTAATTAATGTGTTTATGTATGTATCCACTCATGCATATCATCATACTTGTTTATCAATTTATGGATCTATATGTTTGTGGTTGCTCATTCATTGATTTACTAAATTGCTCGTTGTTGTTTTTTCATGTACTGAAGCATTCGTTGACTTGTTTATTATTTTCGGCACTTGCTTTAAAGGGATGCCAAAAACGAACACGCTGTGTGTCTTCTGTTTTCAGGGAAGACAAAAACACACACGTGGTGTGTCCGTCCTTTTTTCAGGACGCCAAAGGAGGGCAAAAGCTCCAAGTTTTCAGCGTGACTTGAGACCAACCAAAAGATAGGCGAACCCCCCCCCAAAAAAAAATAAAAACAAAAAGCACTCTGGCTCGTCTCGACATGTTGGGGGAATCCTCACAAGCGGGATCTCTCGGATCGCCTTGAAACGTCAAAGCAACCCGGATCAAAATGGATCTCCAAGAAGGCAAACCCAACTTGAATGCCCAAGTTCTGTGTTGGCCTCGCCTTCTGCCAAGAATGTGGCGGACACAGGTCGCTCCCTGCCTTTCCCACTCTATTTGCTCTTGACCCAGGATTGCTAAACCCATGATTAATTCAGATTGGGGGGTGTTCGATTTTAGAGATCCGGATCACTTGGGGGGAACGCCCCCCTCCCAGAAAGAAAAGAAACATAACAAAGAGCCAGTTTTAATTACCAACCTCCCAAAAAAACAAACATCACAATAAGCCAGTTTAATTTCCCCCGCCCAAACAAAAAAACAAACATCCCAATAAGCCAGTTTGAACTTGACCTCCGGTGACATGGGAAACACCCGCCCCTGTCCTCAAAAGCCTTGTTGACCACCTCATCGGAGAAGGCATACTCGAACTTTGGCGCCTAAGGGAACCCATGCGGTGCCAAACGGGCAATGTGCGTTCTTGTAGGTGTCCTTTCAGGGGAAATAGATGGATATCCCTGGTAGATGATCAAACCACCAGGTCTGGAATCGAAACCCACCTATTTTTCTACCAAAACAACCAAGAAGGACACCTATGGTGTTCTTTGTAGTTGTCTGAGTTTCCAGGTTCCCACCCGCTTTCTCGGCCACATTCCGCAAAAAACCCCTTGAAGTGTGGACAGCATGGGCCATCGGAATCAGGCCCTTTGCCGGGTGAAGCCTTGGATCCGAGAGACTCCTTCGACGGCTCTGGACGCCTACTTTGCACACTCTCACGCCTGGAGAATCTTCCAAAAAAGTGGCAGGGTATGATGTGAGCCGCGGCCATGATTTTAATTGCGACCCCCTTTGACCTGGGATTTCGGCGATTCACCCCCTATTGTGTAGCGGAAAATTTGGGTGAGGGTCACCCCTCCCCCCGCGACCCAAAACAAGAAGAAATAACATCGGGCGTGTCTTAAAAGAGGGATTCGGCCCACACGCACACAAAGGCATTGTGAGGGTGCCAGAATCCGTTCCCCGGAGAAAAACATAAACAAATAACGGCACCGAGCGCTTCCGAACCCAAAACCGCGGGCTGCAAAGCGCAACCTGCGGGCAGTGGCTCACGCCAAACCCCTTCCGCCCCGTGGGGCACCTCGGAGAAGTCCGAGTCGAAGAATCTGGCCATGGCGTCTTCAAGGTTGGTGGGCCGGATCTTCAGCAGCAGCGAGGGCCGGAAGGTCTTCTTCTTCTTCTCCTGAAAGTTATTGGATAGTTTTGCTTATTTATTTGGCCGGAAGGTACTCCAGAACCATCAGCTTGGTGAGAAAATGTATTTCTTTCTGGTGTTTTTGTTGGGGGGAGAAGGGGAGGGGGGTGGGAGGTTCTTCTCCTCGGGTGGTGTGTGTTGTTGTTGCCGGGGGGGGGGACTCCTCAGATTCACATGGAACCAACCCAAACCACCATGGTGTTGTTTTTGTTTGGGTGGCGGGGTTCTCAGAATAGGAATTGCCTGAAACCGCCCAATTGGGTAACCCGTGGTTTCTCTTGAGGTTTGGGGAAGGGGGGAGGGGGGGGCTGAAAAAATCATTGAATCTCCTGAAACCGAAAAACCTGGGATGCTGAAATGGACATTTAGACCAAAACAGTGTGTTGTTTATTCCGCTGAAAGGTAACCTAAGCCAGTTTGTCAGAACCAGCCAAAATGGAATTCTGGAACTTCGCCAAAAACGGAATTCTAGACTTGGCCAAATCCCAAAAACCAGGGGCATTTGTGGAATTGTCTGCTGTTTTGTTTGGGTTTCGCGATGCAGGGTAAGCTGCTGGCGCCCAAGTTCCATACCCATCCGGACAAGCCAAGCGAAGGGATCGGACGCTCAAAGGCTGAGGCTATGCCAATCTGGTCATCCGCTTTTGTCCGATTTTCCCGGTGATTTGCTTCCATGCTTGCTTCAAAGAGGCATCCAGCCGAAGCCTATGCGTCCACTGGAAAACATGAAGGAGCTGGCCAAGGCCAGAGAAACGCCATCCTGCTGTTTGTTAGCCTTTACAAATCATAGGATTGAAACTGCAAGAGCTTGGCATGAAACCAAAATGTTCTGCGATCACTCTGGGGAAAGTTCGGATATCTGGCAAACTGGTCTGCTAATTATGAGCAAAAACAGCCTGGAACGAAGGCTCTGCCCAGCTCTGCCCCCGCCCCCCCCCCCCCCCCAGCCTTCTCTTCGATCTCCTCCTCCTTCTCTTCTTTCCTCCCTCTTTGCGGCATGGACCGCGCTCGCCGCGCCTCGCCACGCACCGCCCTCTTCCGCCGCCTCCGCCCCCGTGCGCCCGCGGGAAAGCCCTCCGCATCCGTGGCCGCCGAGGCGTCGGCGTCGGCCGCCGCGTCGTCGGCGTCGTTCTCCTCGGCCGAGGCGTTCTCGGCGGACACGTCCTTGGCAAATACCCCCGGGTCTTCACTACATGACACATGGCTGTGGCTCAAAAACCCGGTGCCAAAATGGAACCCTGGTGAGTGGAAACATGGACCAAGACCTGCGGTTTGCCCCTCCTGCTTGATTTTGAGCCACACATCCACGTGTCATTGTGGCTCTTCAAGGCACATTTGGACAAAACGGAGATGGCCTCACTTCAGGCCCGGATCGAATGGAACGGCAAAGGAACTGAGTGCTCGCAAAGTCTCTTCAGGATCGGGAGGCTCCCCCGTCTCATCTGTAAGCTCCACGTCTGCGCATTCCACGTCCGCAGGGCTTGCGGTTAAAAGTTCCTCGCGCACGGGTCCGGCACTGGTGGCAGAAAACTTGGCGCAGAGGGGGCTGGGGCACATGTCGTTCTCCAGTTCCGCCATCTCGAATCCACTTTGTACAACTCGGCTGCTGCTTTTCAGCAAGGCCCGCCTTTGGCGGCCCAACACATTGGCCGAGCGAGGGTGAAACTGACGAAGCGATGAGCCAAAAGGGCTACAGGCCCGGCCGTGCGTGAGGGAAGTACTGAGTGAGTGCAGTCAAAGGCCTGAGGGAGATCCCGACATGTGCCATACCTCACTAGGTCGGCCATGGTCAAAACTCCGAATCCGCTTGCTTGGTTCATGCCGTGGACACCTTTGTAAAGGGTTGATGGCCTTCTGGCCTTGCCTACCAACTAGGATCCTTGGCAATCCGTGAATCGCATCACTGCCCACTCTGTCTACCTGAATGGAGCCCAAAGTTGGGGCAGAGGGATGGCACTGCATTAGTTCAAGTGAGCTGCATCCAAAGAAGCGTGAATCAAGCTCTGATTTCTCAGCTCGGTGTGAGAGGAGTGTGAATCCAACTTGCAACACCCCTCTCATTGTGTCGGGCCTTCTCTCACGAATTCCAATGTCCGAATTCAGAATTTAATTGACCAACCAAAAGTCCCTTCGCAGAGGGGCGGTGTTTTTTGATGAGCATGTCCAACCACTCCAAGAGACTACTTCGGATTGCAGGACGAGAGAGCCATGGCATATCAGAGCTCGGGTATTGATCCATGTTAAGATCCTCCGAGATCCTCCGCTGAGTACGGTCATCCCAATGAGTCCAACAGCAAGAAAATCTTCAGGCGCTGTTTGCCGCTCACGGCCGAAGCAAATTCCTTGGAGTATGTAAACAGGCATGCGCTCTTGAAAGAAACGCATCAAAATGCTCCAGATCTCCTGCACCACATCTCTCCATGGAGGAACCTCCCCCTTCCCCCCCCCCCTCGCGCCGTGCACTGAACATCTTCCTAGCGCGGCACAGTGCGCAAAGCTACCTGCAATGACGCTTTGCGCCATGCGACTACGACTGTGCTGGTTGCCACGGAAGCACAGATTCGTGTTCTGTCCCAACAAGAAAGGCGCTGGAGCCACCACGTTAACAGCAAAGGTTGAGTTGGTTGAAGCAAGACAAGCATGCCGCGTTTTGTCACAAGATGGAAGCATAAGGGCGGCTTCGCGTTGGTTGCCACTTAATTCACTTGGGAGGCTTTGTTGGTGTCAGCCTCGCATCGGTGTCCTTTTCAATAGCCAAAGCACTCCGCGCCAAAGAGCATCGGCAGGAGCTTGGGAGAGATGTCCCCAAACGAGAAGGGCAAGCAGCAACCAGGGCTTGAAAGGCTTGTTAGGTGGGCTTCAACCAAAGGGCTGGTTTTCCAAGTGTACTTTCTGCGTTCAGGTCTACCTTGCCATGTTGCACCATGTCCTGTTTCGCGAAACGCATCTCGTTTCGCTTCGCCAGCACAGAGGTGAAACGGGGCGGGTTCCGATGGGAGATGCGCAAGGAGCCATTGTGCAAAACCAAGCCACGCGACGCAAACTCTTGTCCAAGCTAGGCTAACTTCGAACCGGAAACACTCAAGGAGCCGTCAACTTGACAAAACTCGCAGAGTAGCAAAAGTTCTGTAGCTGCTGATGCCAGGCGTGAATGGTGAGCAACTGTTTCCGTAGACGGAGGCCAGCCGTTTTGATCTAACGTTCTGATATGTTGCTCGATTCAACTTAGCGCCCGTGGTCACTATCGAAACATAGGGTCCCCTATGGCTTTGCGGACGCCTGAAAACAGGAAGGAGCGACCTTTGTACATACGAAAAAGCAAAGAGCATCTATAAAAAGAGATGGATGGTGAACATCAAGGCAGCCCTTGACTTAAACCAAAGAGGAATACCAAGGAAAACAATCAGGGGAAGACTAATAATATCAGATTAGATTCAATCTAACAGAACAAACCGAACAATCAGAACCAACCACCCCCTGTCACATCGCTGCTCGAAAAACCTGCGCGGAGGTTCTTTGCCTCCGGAGGGACTTCGGCCGGCTGCAGCCTCAACCTCCACCCTGCTCGAGGAATCTATCCAGCACGTGTGACCAAATGGGGGCCTTTGGGATCCTTGCCTTTTGGCCTCACGTCAGCATAGGCCACAAACACTCCCAACAATCGTACCACCACCAACCAAATCAAAATCGCATTCTGCTTCTTTTCACCCAGAAGTTCTGCCTCACCAACCAAGCGAGCCTGAGCCGTGGCGAAGTGCCCACCTTCCTCTTATTCGCCATAAATGCGCGCGGAAGAATAGGGTTGCAAACTCTGCAGGACTGTTCCCCCTCCCCAAAACATGACCTCTTTAGCTCGCCCCCATCGCCCACAGCTAGGGAACCTTCAGCTAAGTTCTATGGGCGCAGCCTGCCGCCGACCGAAGAAGCGCCGCCGACCGGCGGCCGGCGCATGTGTTCCCCGCCGGCCAACTTGGGGAAACCGCAGCCCGAAGGCAACGAATTAGCTCCATTCCTCCGGCGCCTGCAGTTGCTCATCCGCCCACCGATGCTCCTGGCGCAAAGAACAACGTGGGCGTCGGTCAAAAAAAAACAAAGGCGCTCCGGAAAGTCCGAAAATCAACTTGTACCAGCACACATGGCACTCGACGATGTATATTTGTGCGTGGTGAATATCCTGCTTTCCGAATGAACAAGCTGTCAAATGGCTTGAAATGTCACGTATGCATTGAGTGCTACATGGAGTTTTATGCTCCTGTATAGAACGGTTCGGCTCCGTCCGTTCTAGTCAAAAGGGACAAATACCACCGGCACGTGTCTGAAGAATGGAAAGGAACAATTGCTGAAACCGCTAGACGTGCTGTTCTTGCTTGTTGCATCCATGCAGGAATGGATTGACACGGCAAATCAAAGGGAGAGAGTCATCCACTTACCCTCACCTGTGTGATGGTTGACTTGGCCAATGGCCGTACGCCGAAACCTGTGCTGCCTGAGTGACATGTCCATCTTGCATGGCTGTAGGGATGCCTTGCCAAAGGCCATACTTCTCGCAGCTGCGCGCAAGCGCGGAACACAAAGGGCACCGTAAAGTTGCATGCTCTGCTTTCCAATCACCGATTTCTGGCCTCCTAACAGTGACCAATCTCACAAGAGGGCAAAATACAACTCCCCAGCCAAACCCGGGAGGGGTAAGAACCTGTCTTCAGGCCTATGACATGATACCAACACAGCTCTGGTGAGCTTCCAACGCCAAAATGCGCCTCTCGGGCGACTGGGCATGGAGGATGCTGTTTGCCCGTATTTCGAGAAAATGGGCACAAAATAAGGCCGTAAGAGAATGCCAACAGAAATAACAATATTGCAAAGGACTCCAATCAGGATCCGAGTTGCCTCATGATTCTACCACTTTCAAAGTCACCCCTAGGTCGTACATTAAAGAGAAACAACCCCAGTGTCTGGCTTTGATAACCCAACCAAACAAAAGTCGTCAACCTAGTGACCCCGGAAAAACATGTGCGGGTTTCCGGTTGGTGTCCCGTTGCGCCGTCCACGGCAACGGCCTCGCAGGCGCTTTGCAGTGTGCAGGTCCCGCAGGAAGGGCAGTCCTCCTGGCCGCGCGAGGGAGGCTGCTTGGGCGGGGGGGGGCGGGGAGGGGGTTGGGTGGGGGTCACTTTGAGCCCTTCCGCACGGGGAAACAGAAGCGCAGCATAAAACGTTGAGAGAAAGCGGCCGTACTCTGCTGCACAGGCTTCAGGAACCCCCCGCAAAATGTGGTCCTGCCCTTGGATTGGATTTAAAGCCCCTAAGAAAGACACACACCCAGACACACACGCACAAACAGCACACGCCGCCCAAATTCCACAGCGATGATGTGGTCCCCCCTGAAACCCACCAAGTTCTTGGTCCCCTCAAACAGAAAGACTCACGCAAACCCACCAAGAAGAAGGGTCCCCTAAGACCCACACACACACACACCGCCCAAAATGTACAGCAACATTGATTGATTCACTCGGTCTGCAGGGAAGCCTCCACAGTTGATTCGTGTAGGGGTGAATCCGGAACTCTGCACATACCACACAAGAGCACAAGCACAAACACTTGTCTGTAGCCTTCGCCCGCCTGAACTCGCTCAAAAGCTTCTCTGCACGCGGTGCTTTCAGCCAGTGACCTTGGCTCTCGAAGTCTCAGACTGCAACTTCTCGGTTTCTGCTCCCCTGCTAAAAGTTTAACTTTTAGTGGTTTAGTGGAAAACCCACTAGTTGGCGAAAAGTGTCAGTCTTAACAGCCAAGCAAAATGCACCAAAGACTTCTCAGTGAAGTCCTTCAAAAAGGCACCCGATTGTTTTGCGAACACTGCGACCGTGGCTAAAAACCTTTGGCGAATGTCAAACGTCGGGGGCCCAAGATGACGGCGTGCCCTATTGAGGTCCCAAGAGAGGACAACAGCACCAAACAAATTGTGAGAAGACCTTCCTAAGCCAAAGGAACAACTCAAAAGGCTGTGGCTCAAAAACATGTACCAAAATTGCACCTTGGTATATGAAGAAAAAGACTCACACCTGCGTAACCCCAGCTGCTTAATTTTAAACCACTCCCAAATCAGCTCAAGAAATTGCGGCCTGAAAGTTCAGCTCAAAGCTTCTGGACATGGCAAAGAGATGTGCTCATGTCTGGTCAAACCCTTTGTTTCCACTCTTGGTCAGACTGCGAAGACGAGACCATGGCCATCGTGAACGCGGCCCAAAAGAAGATAATGAACAAGCCCCTGCTTCCCTCGAGGCAACTTGGACAGCTTCAACTTCAAGAACTTGGATGGGAACGTAAGGTCGACTCCAGTCACCTTAGTCGCCTGAATGCTCTAGCCATTGCGCCATTGCAGAGACTGATTGCCAACACCTTTACCACTTCTCAAAGGTCGACATCTTTTCCGGGTTTATTCTTTTTACTACTCCCGGGTGCGGAAATGCAGTACTTTACCCGCAATTTTCTCATGCACTCAGTTTGCACCAGCAATGTCAACATCCCCAGCAGCGTTTTAGTAGCCCAGTGATCATCTTCAACACCCTCGGCAGCACCAGTTTGGTCTTGTTTCGGGCGAGCTTGGGTAGGCCGAGGGTTTCTTTAAGGTTTCTTTCGGGTGGGTTTAGTTTCGCGTTTGTTTCGCTTGGGTTTGGCTCTTTAGCTTTAGGGATGGTTTAGTGCTTATTCTGGCAGGCTTAGGGTTGGATTAGGGTAGGTTTAGGGTTGATTTGGGTTTGTTCAGGGTGGTTGCAAACAAAGGGACGCTCTCCCGTTGGTAGTTGACTTCAAAGGGAAACCCACCCAAAAACGTCCTCCAACGCCAGGGCTGTTCCAGGCTCCCCCGCCGCACGCGCTCCAGGCAGGACATGTCCCCCACATGAGTGCGACACAGCGCGTCGCAGCCCTGCGCCCCTGTCGCTCGCGATGGACCCTCTTTCAGGTGGGTGGGATCAAGAATCATTTCTTAGAAAACCACCCAAAACAGCAGATAGCACAAGTGCTCGATGCTGACACTCTCTGGTATCCCGCTTTTTCCCCAACCCAAAAGGCAAACTGCATTTTGAGGGCCTTTGGGGTGGGGAGACCCGTTTAATCGCCATTTAGAGGGCAATTTCGAGCTTCAGGGTAGTGTTGAGCCCAAAACTAGACAAGTTCTAGCGTTTGGCAGTGCAATCTTTGTTTGTTCTGCCAGCAGCCGGAAAATCCAAGCCTTCATGTTGGTTTTGGATTGAGCCTGTGCGGCAAAAACGCTTCTTCACCAATGGCCCATGGCCAAATTATATACACATGCGAATCCATGCACCAACTTGCACGCAAGTCCCTGAACGCACACATGATCCACCCCAACGTTACGTCCAACGCCATGTTGTACGCCTGAGTGCATACGGCAAATGCGTTTCAAGCGTCGGGCACAGCTACATCAGAAGTCCAGCCATGGGAAAAGAGGCCGCGCTTTTGGTTTTGGAAACCTCCCAAAGGAAGCTCCACAGTCGTGCTCCACCAGGAAACCGTCTCTGCTCAACTCGTTCGTTTGAAGTTATGAATATCCGACACCAGCAATGGACCAAGGAGGCCAGAGGGCCATAAAGATCAACTTTCGAACCGGGGAGACCTGGCACGGATCTCCCTTTGGTCGCCTGTCTCCTGGCAGCCGCGGTTGAAGTTGGCACAGCACCACTGCTTCTTCGAAGGAGTCCTCAGGCGAAACTTCGGGCCTGGACATCCAACTGCACCTAAGAAGTGCTTCGAAAAGGGTCGGTCTTCTTTATAGGCTACCCAAAGCCTAGGAGAAGAAGCAACACCAAAGCAACGAGTTTTTCAGGCTTCTAAGGAAACTGCAACAGCCAAACTCAGGACACGGATTCAGCATGGTTGATACATGCATGGCATGTGGCTCAGGGGGCCCCCTTTTGCTCACCCAGGCAGAGCCTAGGCTACATTCGCTAGGAGCCATAGAGGCCCTCGCACCGAGTGGAAAACAGTCGCCAGCCGACTTGACCGAGTGACTTCGTGAACCTCATCACCGAAGTGAGCATTCACTTTAGGAGCCCAATCGCTACCCTTGCAGCACTCGCTGCATTGGTAGCGGAGCACAAGATCCGAGGACCACCGTGCTACCGCATCTTCTTTCTCTTCGGTGGCCTCAACCTTTTTCCCTTGCCTTTGCCCTAGCCTTCAAGGAGCTGCTTGGCGAGCTCTACGGCTAGGTGCTGGTGACCTTGCGCAACCAGTTCAAGAGGACTGGGTACTGTTTTTCCCTTGCCGCGGCACTTTGCCATCCTGGCGGACAAGGATGGTCATACTCCTTCATGGGATGGATCTGCCAGATCCTGGAGACGCTACACTCGAGAAGTGTGCTGGTATGTGAGTGCGACGCCTGCGTACAAGCGTCGGTACTGCACTCACAAGCTGATTGGCAAGCTCACCGGACCCGCACGGTTGCTGGCGATGTCATGGAATCATCAGCCTCACCCAAGCTCGCCAGCACGCAGAGGAGGTGGCTCGGAAGACTCGTTCCCAACGGATCCTCAGCAAGCTTGCCAACACCTCCGTGCGGCAGCCCTTGAGGACTTTCACACACTTCGAGCTGGCGAAGGTCTGGCGCCATGTTCATCCTTCCGATCAACATCGAGGACCTCGAGGTGGTCACAAGAAATCCGGCAAGCCATACTGGATTGGGCCTGGACGTGTCGTCTTCCAAGAGCTGATTCACCATCAGGAAGAAGGCGACCACAGAAGGCACATCCTATGGGTCTTGATCGGGAACAGACTCCTACGCTGCTCAGTGCACTCGGTGAGACCTGTCACCGTCACCGAGCAACTCCAGCACGACCTCACGTCCGGCGAGGATCCCACGAAATGGAAGACCCTGGCCGACATCCTTCCCAAGCGCGAGTTCGAGGACATCACAAATGAGGAACCGACGGAGCAAGAGATCGAACTTCCTAATCTCCCTCCAGCACCAGATCCAACTACTATCGTACCTCTTCGGCGAGCCGTGAAGAAAACGACCTATGGTCCCACCGACTATCGCCAGGTACATCGCTCAACCCCCATCGGCATGAACCCCAGGACACCTCGCTCAACCTCATTTGTACCACCGCCACCAGCAACTCCCACTGAAGTCCTTAACGAACCCGGCCAGCCCAGTAGTTCCTCATCGGCACGACCACCTGATGCTACGTCCACCACTGGTCCAATCGGAGTCAACGACTATGGAGATGGCAGCGATGCTCGTCCATGTGCATCTAAGAAGCCTCGCCTCGTGAACGACAACGATGATCTCGTGACTCAACACTATGATCTTCAATGGGTTGAAGCTCTTCAAGCCGAAGCTGCTCAAGAGATCACGCAATACGACGTCCTGACCGCTCTCCAGGAGGTCGACGAAGCCATCGTCATGCACATCGATCTCGACCTCAACTCCAACAAGGAGCGGAAAGCCCTGATCAACAACCCGGTCAACTTCCTGGTCAAGAAAATGAACAACTCCGAGGTCAGCCTTCAGAAGCTGTCCAGTGCGGACCGCTCGCTCTTCGCAAGAGCCAAGACCAAGGAAGTGGACTCCTTCATCAAGAATGAAGCCGTTCGCAAACGCCTCAACGACATTGAGCTCAAGGACGCCTACGGCAGTGGAAGAGTTCTCAAGGCCCGTTGGGTCTTGACCTGGAAAGTTGTTCCACCTGCCGAACGCGAAGAAGCCTCCCAGGACGCCGTCGAACACCCTTCACACCAAGGATGGCGCTAAGAAGGCCAAGGCAAGAATAGTCTTGCTGGCTTCCAACACCCGAGCCTGCTGGACCCGACCTTCAAGACCGGCGCCGGTTCAATCCAATCTTGGAAGAAGCCTGCTGTACGTTGCCTCAGCTCACCATCAATGGCCACTAGAAGGCCTGGACCTTGCCACAGCCTTCCTGCAGACTCAGCCCACTGAGGCCGACGCCAACCTATGGACCACGGGAGTCAAGGAGCTGCAAGAAGCTCTCAACGTTCCTGAAGGCTCGCTTCTCAAGATCCTTCGCAACATCTATGGTTCAACAACAGCACCCCGAGGCCTATGGCTAGACCTGCACAAGACTTTGGTTGGCCTAGGAGCTGTACCTGCCCTTGGAGAACGTTGCCTTTGGCTATGGTTCTCACAGTTCGAGAAGGAGAGCACCGGTCGCTTCCCACGCCTCATTGGCATGATGGGCGGCCACGTGGATGATTTTCACCGGATTGGAGACAGGAACTCTCACGAATGGCTCGACATCATGCACAAGGTTGATCAAGCCTACAAGTGGGGAACCGTCAAAATGCGTTCCTACAGGCACGCCGGCACCGATGTGGAGACCATGAACGCCGATGACGGCACCTTCAAGATCTCCGTCAGCCAGGACGCCTACATCGAGACCATTCCCGATGTTGCCATTTCACCTGATCGCCTACGGCAAAATGGACCCCTGTCTCCCTATGAAGTTGGAGCATGCCGCACTTCCCTTGGTGCAATGCAGTGGTTAGCGGTGCAGACACAGCCACAAATCTGCGCCCGATGCAATTTGCTGCTCACGGAAGTGGTCACAAATGGCACGTTGGAGACCGCCCGCGAAATTCAACAGATGATTGGCGAGGTCAGGCGTGAGTCCTACAACCTCGAGTTCCACAAGGTACCCACTGCGGAGCACTGGTCAGACCTGGTCTTCATCTCGATGGGCGACCAGGCACACTGCAATCGTCCGAAAGGGGACAGCACTGGCGGCATGATCACATTGGTCAGCGGCCCCGAATGCTTGGATGGTCGTGTTGCCCGCATGATGGTCATCGCATGGCGCACATGGAAACTGCGGCGCAAAGCCATCGGCAGCAACGATGCCGAAGTGCAATCCATCCTGGAGGCCGAAGACCTGAACTTCAGAGCCCGTCTTCTCTGGACTGAGATTCATGGTGGCGGCCTTGCCCGACAACATGATCGCACCAACCTGACCACCGCTGCTGAACAACAAGTTTTGCTTATTCGGGGAATCCTTTGCACAGATTCCCGAGGTGGCTATGATGCGGTGGAGCTCAACGAGTCGCCGCTGCTTGGTTTGTCAAGCCTTCGCTCAGCCCTTCAAGCCTTTCAGCTGAGGGAGAATCTGAAACGCGTTGGCTGTGAACTTCGTTGGCTAGCCTCCGACTATGACCTTGCCGATGCCCTCACCAAGAAGAGAGCCGAGCGCCGTCTAGGTTTGCAGAAGTTCCTCAGCAAACGGCACTGGTGCATCGCCTATGATCCCAGCTTCACTGCCGCGAAGAAGAACAAGAAGGTAGGAAAATCTGCCGTTCAGCAGATTGATGACGCTCTCCATCCCGAACATGATCCGGACCGACCACCCCTGAGCGCATGGCCTGAGTTAGATTCAGCTTTTTCGTAGAAAACAGCTGATTTCCCTTTTGACAGCCAAACTCAGGACACGGATTCAGCATGGTTGATACATGCATGGCATGTGGCTCAGGGGGCCCACTTTTGCTCACCCAGGCAGAGCCTAGGCTACATTCGCTAGGAGCCATAGAGGCCCTCGCACCGAGTGGAAAACAGTCGCCAGCCGACTTGACCGAGTGACTTCGTGAACCTCATCACCGAAGTGAGCATTCACTTTAGGAGCCCAATCGCTACCATTGCAGCACTCGCTGCAGAAACCTGTACCTCAAGCGGCCCAAGTCTTGAACTTACAGCTTTCGCAGCGCCAAAATGTCTCAAAGGACTTGACCTCTCAGAAGGGGGTGGTTCCCAATCGGGCACCTGATGCAACAAAAAGCCCCCTGAGAAGAATCGCACTGCACGGAATCCTATTTGGCAAAGAGCCCATCCCTCCGCTGGGTTTCGAATAGGTCAACCCGAAACCAAAAGGCGATTCTACTGCGCGAAAGCTACAACACCGTACACACCCCTACTGAAAGACAGAAATGGATCAACAGGGGTCCGGGGATGTGGCCCGGTGTTGTAGAAGTTGCATGCGCATCATCACAGATGCTTGATATGTAACCAGCTTGTGAAAATGCTGGTCCCTTTAAACCACGGTTGAAACCGCTAGGAAGAACCAATGGAACCTAAGAGAAAGCAAGCCTTTGGCTTTCCTGTACCTGAGCATGCCCGTAGCAGATTTTGGCGCAAGGCTGGCGTTCAGATGGGCCTGTAAGGGGAACAAGAGGTTGCCGGGCACTCCAAAACTTCATACCCAAAGCGCAAAGGTTAAGAGGGTCTTGGCATTGGAGCCCTTTCAACGCAGAATGGTGTCAAGACTTTTGAACCCTATCTTGTAGCCAACTAGCCCAAATCAAAAAAAGAACGAGATGAAACTTGATACGTTCTTCAAAAGGAATCCCAAGGAATCCTAAGTCCTAGGGCACGGCTTCTTTTCCTCCACCCCGGACAACCCTTGTTTCCTACGCGCTTGCAAAGAACAACAACGTTCCTCGTGGGTCTGGGGAATATCCTCGTTCGGGACCTGCCGGGTGTAAGAAAGAGGGTGTCTGACACCTCCTTTTGGGTGTCTTTTGGGAGAGCCACCCCCCTTGTCAGCAGGTTTTACAGGAAAACCCACCAGAAAACCGGCGGGTTTTGTCCCCTTTCCCCCCCCCCTTTGCTTCCATGGCGACCTCGACACATCGACTCGTTGTCCGTTTCGGGGCGCCAGGTGCTCTGCCACCGGCTGAAGCCCGCGTCGCAGTCGTAGCGCTGGCCATGGGCGCCGCAGCCCACGCGGGAGTTCTCGCCTTGGACCGGGACCGGGACCGACCGGGCGGACGGGTCGGCGGCCCAGTGGACCAGTGGGCCAACGGGGAGTGGGCCAAGGGGTGAGTGGGTGAGTGAGCCAGTGGGTGAGTGGGCCAGTGGGCCAGTGGGCCAGTGGGCCAGTGGGTGCACTGCAGGAGTCTGGCAACATACGCTCTTCTTCTCAAAACGGTTAAAAGTTGAGGTTTGAAAAAGGCACCAAACAAAGGATCGGTCAGTCGATGGATAGGGATGGCGTGGCCTGCAATGCGGCAGTTCTTCTCCACAAGCGCTGCTCTTGCGCAACCAGGCATGCTTTAGGAAATGGCGCACATAGCGACATAGTAAGGTTCAATGAATGTGCTGTCTGTGTGTCTGTACTGGAGACAAGAGTGCTTCCTCGAGACAACACCACATCTGCCCACTCTGCACTCAGAAAAACAAAGCCAAAACAAAAAAAGCAAAGGAATATGTGTTCCACAACAGTTCATGTGACTTGCCAACACAACCAAAAAGGAAAAACTACCCTTCCTCCAACTAACATGGCACCTGTGGGGAGGTACCTGCAAAAATTCATTTCCTTTTGAGGGCCCCCTGTCAGTTGCCATGTTGGTTGGAGGGAGGGTACTCATTAGCAGGAAGTACTTCGAATACAAACTGCGCATTTGCCTCTCCCCCCCGGCTTCGAGGCAACGCCCCTCTGCTTACCTCGAGGGCGAAGAAGCCGCGGCGAACTTTGGAGACATGTCCCAGCCTTTGTGGGCTTGACCAATTTCAGTGGGTCCCCAACACAAACAGAACGGGCAAAAGGGAATCCGCTGAACCTGGACCCAAATCTCAAAATATGGAACCCGAAAACAGACAGGAATGGTACTGGACCCAGTTCAAAATAGGGAACCCCAAAAAAAACACGAATGGTACTGGACCCACTCTGGCTTGCCTTTCAAACCCTTTTGGTGTCCTTTGGGTTTCCCTTTAAAACCCTCCAAAACATGGGCTCCCTCAAACACATTCCGGCCAAGTGGCAGCACCACTGCCGCTGGCCCGGCGGCCACAGCTCCGGCGTGCCTGCTGCAAAGGAGGCCACAAATGGATGCGTATGGGTGTCTGGTGTTTGAATGAAAACCAGAAGGAAACCCACCTCATGCTTGTTTCTTTGTCTTTTCTGGTTTGCTTGTTGTTCTTTCTTTCTGGCTTTCTTTCTTTACTTATTTCCTTATTTTTCTTTCTTTCTGTCTTTCTTTCTTTCGTTCTTTCTTTCTTTCTTTCCTTTTTTGTTTGGGGGGCTTTGTCCTTCCAGGTCCTGGTTTGCTTGTTCTCTCTTTCTTTTTTTGAGGGGAAGGGGGGGAAATCCCAATTTGGCTTGATCTTCACCAAAGGGAAGCCAATCCTGGAAATAAACGACGCTGGGGGTGGTACTGTATCCTCAACAGCCAGACTACCCATCCTAAGAATCTCCAGCCTGAGGGTGCAAGTAGGATCCAGATGGGTGTGGATCAAAATTAAACAGGAGGGGGTACGCAGGTTTTGGTCCATGTTTCCACTTACCAGGGTTCCATTTTGGTACCGGTTTATTTGAGCCACAGCCAGATGGCAAAATCAACATAACACCCATTTTCAATCTTCTCGTCCGTGGCGTACGCCCGTACGGTGCAACTCTGCAACTCCGTCCGTACATTGTTCGGGTTGCCATCCAGTGAGCCGCGCATGGCGACTAAGCGCTCCTCGTGCCTGGCCTGTGAAGCAGTCGAAGGGACAAGCTAAGCCGTAGTGCTTGCAGCAGAACAGCATGTGCTCATTCGACCAGCTTTGCCAGTTCTTCATGCCCGTGTGGCCTAAGCTTGGTCTGGAAAGCTTGCCAGTCCCCTAAGGAGCCCCCAATGAGCGGTTCCATTTTCAAGGGACCGAGCCATGAACCAACTTGAGAACTCATTTGATTTGGAGCCTCGACCATCTTTTTGGGTTCCATGATAATCAGTCAAGCTTTGCTCAGCTCGACACTTTGCCGAGTTACAACAACGGTGCCACCTTTGGCCTATTGGAATTCAGCCGATGCGACTGGAGAAAGATCGGGCTGAAAGCCGAGAACCACTCCAATTGGCAAATGGCCCTTCGTTGAAACCATCCCAAAACAGATCTCAGATGGTTTCACACATACTCATTCAGACTTTGACCAACTTCCGCATCAAATCCAGTCGCGAGTGTCGGACAGGCCAGACTGAATGCGCCAGGAATGTGTCAACTTCCACTTCGGACTATTGAACCCTCACGGCTTCGTCAAGAGCAAAATCACGCACTTACACCCCATTCCTGAGCGCTGACCGGGACCATGTGGTGCCATTTCACCGAAGCTTGTTTCCCACACACATGCACACAGACACAGACACAGACACAGACACAGACACAGACACAGACACAGACACAGACACAGACACAGACACAGACACAGACACAGACACAGACACAGACACAGACACAGACACAGACACAGACACAGACACAGACACAGACACAGACACAGACACAGACACAGACACAGACACAGACACAGACACAGACACAGACACAGACACAGACACAGACACAGACACAGACACAGACACAGACACAGACACAGACACAGACACAGACACAGACACAGACACAGACACAGACACAGACACAGACACAGACACAGACACAGACACAGACACAGACACAGACACAGACACAGACACAGACACAGACACAGACACAGACACAGACACAGACACAGACACAGACACAGACACAGACACAGACACATACACAGACACAGACACAGACACAGACACAGACACAGACACAGACACAGACACAGACACAGACACAGACACAGACACAGACACAGACACAGACACAGACACAGACACAGACACAGACACAGACACAGACACAGACAGACACAGACACAGACACAGACACAGACAGACACAGACACAGACACAGACACAGACACAGACACAGACACAGACACAGACACAGACACAGACACAGACACACACACACACACACACACACACACACACACACACACACACACACACACACACACGCACACAAACAAATCTGTGGGCGCACGCACAGGCAAACAAGGCGCGCCGAACAGCACGTGTTGATTTTTTGCAATTGAAATGTGAGCAAATAGGGTCAAAAGCCTGGAAGTGCACTGGTCCAGACTTAGACCCCTGCAAAAAGTGGACGGTTTGCCATAGGAAAATGAGGGGAGAAAGGCAACAAGGTTGGTTAAGTCTTGCAATGTCTACGTGTTGTGTCATTCAAATTATCGAATCCTCTCCCTGCTGTTTGCTCCTTACCCCCTCCTTCTGCCGCTCAAAGGCCCGAGCTGCCGGCCATTCGCATCCCCTTTCGTGCCAAGCAGCAATCAATGCGCCTGAGCTGTGGCGAAACCAAGGGCAATCAGCTCCAACAACACAAACATATCCCACTGTGGATGGACGAAATTCTGCACCACAGTGAAACCATGGGACACCATTGTTTGTTGGTATTTTCAGGGGAATCATCATTCCAGGGTTTCTTAGATGGTGCAGGATTTCGTCCATCGACAGTATCACACTGCCCGACTCTCGCAGGGCTCTCACTGCTGGCAAGCTCTAGGGCCCTGGCCCACTATCTTCACTGTGCCCTGTCCACGAGTGGTCCGTCATATCACCAGTGGGCCCGTGCCACGTGTGGTGCGTCACCTCACCGGTGGGCCCATGCCAGAGAGACACCTCACCGTTGGGCCCGGTGTAGGTGTGGTGCGTGACGGTGACCACGCCGTCCTTCAACGGGAAGGAGGGCCCGGTGACCGTGTGGCGGGTCTCCGTGACCACGTGCCTCAAATGGCGGAAAATACCAAAAAGCGTGTCACTGCTCGCCGGTTAGGAAAGGGACACTTGCCCGCGGAAGAAGAAAAATACAGTACCGACCAAATAGCAACCAAAGTGGTTTTCCAAATATCAATCAAACTTCAGCAACCAAGCAAGCATTCTTAAGACCCGACCCAAGAAAATAACCAACCACATAGCCTACCAGGGAACCAAAACGGTACCAACCAGGCAACCAACCAAGTCCCGGTAGCCAACCCAAGTAACCAAGTAAGGCACCAACCAGGTAACCAACCAGGGAATCAACCAGGTAACCAACCAGGTAACCAACCAGGTAACCAACCAGGTAACCAACCAGGTAACCAACCAGGTAACCAACAACCAGGTAACCAACCAGGCAACCAACCAGGTAACCAACCAGGTAACCAACCAGGCAACAACCCAGGTAGCCAACCAGGTAACCAACCAGGTAACCAACCAGGTAGCCAACCAAATAACCAACCAGAAAACCAACCAAGGCAAAAACCAGGTAAACAACCAAGTAACCAAGTAAAGAACCAACCAAGGTAGCCAACCAGGTAATGAAGTAAGGAACCAACCAAGGCAACCAACCAGGCAACCAACCAAGGTAAACCAGGTAACCAACCGGGTAACCAACCAAGCTAGCCAACCAGGTAGCCAACCAAGGCAACCAACCAGGTAACTAACCAAGGTACCAAGTAAGGAAGTAACCAACCAGGTTTCCAACCAAGGTACCCAACCTGGAAACCAACCAAGGCAACCAACCAGGTAACCAACCAAATAACCAAGTAAGGAACCAACCAAGGTAGCCAACCAGGTAACCAACCAAGCTAACCAACCAGGAAACCAACCAAGTAACAAAGTAAGGAACCAACCAAGGAAACCAACCAGGCAACCAACCAAGGTAAACCAGGTAACCAACCAGGTAACCAACCAGGTAACCAACCAGGTAACCAACCAAGGTACCCAACCAGGTAACCAACCAAGGCAACCGACCAGGTAACCAACCAAGTGACCAAGCAAGGAACCAACCAAGGTAACCAACCAAGGTAACCAACCAGGAAACCAACCAAGGCAACCGACCAGGTAACCAACCAAGTGACCAAGCAAGGAACCAACCAAGGTAACCAACCAAGGTACCCAACCAGGTAACCAACCAAGGCAACCGACCAGGTAACCAACCAAGTGACCAAGCAAGGAA